AATTTGGAAAATTAAAATATTTGCATGTTACAGTTGATACTTCTTCTGGATTTTTGATGGGCTCCCTTCATGCCGGAGAAAAAACTAAAGATGTTATAGCTCATTGCTTACAAAATTTTGCCACTGTGGGTGTTCCAAAACAGTTAAAAACAGATAATGCCCCTGGTTATACTTCTACCTCTTTTAAACAATTTTGCTCAACATTTGGCATTACTCATATAACAGGAATCCCATACAATCCACAGGGACAAGGCATAGTTGAAAGAGCTCATCAAACTATTAAAATGTACTTATTAAAGCAAAAACAAGGAATTGGGAAGGGGTATATATTCCCCAAAGATAAACTTAAAATAACCCTTTTTACTCTAAACTTTTTAAATTTGGATTCATCAGGACTTAGTGCTGCGGAAAGGCATATGTGTCCAAAAAATGTACATAAGCCCAAGGTACTTTGGAAGGATATTCTAACAGGACAATGGAAAGGTCCTGACCCAGTAATTGTCTGGAGTCGAGGGTCTGTTTGTGTGTTTCCACAGGGAGAACAGCAGCCGATTTGGATTCCAGAGAGATTAACCAAGGTCCTGACCCAGTGATTGTCTGGAGTCGGGGGTCTGTTTATGTGTTTCCACAGGGAGAACAGCAGCCGATTTGGATTCCAGAAAGATTAACTAAAGCGATTTCTACAGACCAAAAAGAAGATGATTTGGCTCAAATCCATAACAACTGATATCCAAAACTCCAGTTTGGCTATTCTTACATCTGCAACAGAACCAGGATGCTTTTTTCAATATCTATTTTATTATTGCCCTTTGCCATATCATGAAGTTCTATTTTGTTTTTTGAGCTCATACAGACCTAGGTTAATGTTTTGCTGATCAGTTCTATTTTTTGACTATAGAGTTTTTAAACATTGCAATGGAGATTTCACCTGTAAAAAGTTATAAGGCCTTTACTATAATGTTATGTGTTGTATGTATTATATTATGTGTGCACACTTGTGTTTTGTGTTATATGTTTGAATGTACGTATGTCCATATATCATATATGATGAGCGCTCATGATAAAATGGATCCAAATATTTTTTTTTTCACGTGATTTATATGGTTTAATTTAAATTGGGTAAACAACTGTTGAGGATTGTTTTAATATGTAAACAAAAAAGAAGGTTAACAGATCTGTTTGTTTACTTTTACCTTTCCTTTTCATTATATTTAATAATTCTCTTAAAGATAATGTAAATTGTTAAGAAAATTGTTTTCTTTTAGTGCCTTCTGTAGTGTTACATAATTTTTTCTTTAGCCATTATTGCCAGAATTCCTATCTTCATCCCAGTGCCGGTGAAGACAATGTAAATTGTTAAGAAAATTGTTTTCTTTTAGTGCCTTCTGGAATGTTACATAATTTTTTCTTTAGCCACTATTGCCAGAATTCCTATCTTCATCCCAGTGCTGGTGAAGTGAAAGATAAAATCAATCTACAGCTTCTACAATAGCCATCACTGAACTGCTTGCAGAACTTGCCTGGACACATTGTGAGCTCACCTGTATGCATTGTGAACTATCTGTTGGTGCAGTGACTTGTGGTAGTGCTGGAGTATTTTTGCTGATGGTGTCACCGGTGGTACAATTTAGGAGCCCTCAATTGGCTTAATGTCATGGCATTTTGCATCCTCCTCTACTAGTGATGGTCTAAAATTTGGGGGCCAACAGAGGTGAGGCAAAGAACCTCACCCCCCCACAGGTGCAAAGGCCTATCCACAAGTATGGCTGTATGCTGGACCGGTAGTCAGTGACGGGTATGATCCAATTGCAGTGGTACCAACCTAAGACAGGAGGCTGACGCCTAGAGGTCAGTTCATCTGATGACGGGTAAGGACCATATGTTGAATTGGACTGCCTAACAGGCACGGTCCCTAAGCCACATGCTTGTTGTTTAAACAGAGAGGGGGAGATGTTGAGAGCCACAGCCAAAGGGGCCCCAGCAAACTTCCAGCTGCCAGCAAACTTCCAGCTGCTGGCTGATGATTGGCTCACAGCGGCCCCAGCAACATCTAGCTGATTGGCTCCTCGGCCCCAGCAACATCTAGCTGATTGGCTCCTCTGCGGTGATGCTCATTGGACTGTTTCCCTGCCCTTTCAGACCACGGAGCTGCTCATTGGGGGACTTTTTTGGTTCCGCCCACGTGACCCAGCCAATCGGCCTCAAGAGCAGGAGGATTGTGGGAGGTGGAGAGAAGCTTGTGTGGGAGAGAGAGGCTTGGGGAAAGCCGGTGGTGGCAGTTGAGGCTCTGAGGGTTTTTCCTGAGAGACTATTTTGTTTGTCGTGTGTGGTTCTAAAAATAAAGTTAGTTTCTTTTGACAAGTGGCTCCTGATTGTGCCCAGCCAGACTGCGGCACCCCATGTCCCTCCTGATGGGGAGAGTCACAGCCTCTGGGACAGGAGTCCCCTGTGTTTCTCCTTTGCTAGCAAAGCGATAAACCTTCTTTTCCCTTTTCCTCAAAACTGTGTCCTCGTTATTGGATTGGTACTGGTGACAAGGACCAAGTTTTTCGTTACAAATTTGGTGCCCAACGTGGGGCCCGAGAGCGCCGGAGCCCCTTTTTGTTTGGGGAGCTCCTGCCTGCCTCCCTGAGCAGTTCAGCTGCTCCACCCGGCTCTGCTTCGAGAAAAAGGAAACTGGACTCAGCAAAGTCGCAGCACCCTTGGCCACCTGGTAAGTCCCCCTGAGTGCGCACCGAGACCCTTGACTCCACACATCTTGTCCCTCTTCACAGGGACATCTCTGGGGCCACTGGGGTAAGAGCTCCGGTTCTGCAGGGGACTGGAGGACCCCAGGACGTGACTCCCTTCGCTCTGCTCTAGGTTCTCATCTGTTTGTTGGCCTCGGGTTCAGGAATCCCCTCTGGTCCCCTGTCTCTGTGTATGTTTTGTATCTGTCACCGAGGTCTGCCCAGGGGCCCCTTGGGAAAAGTCCTGGCTGAATGGGCTACACATAGTTATGAGCCTGTGACTAAGAAAAAGAAGGTGTTTTATTGTGACACAGCCTGGCTGACGTCTGTGCTGGAGGGAAGGCGGCCCCTGTGTGGATCCTGCAGCTGGAGCTGTTTGTTGGGTCAGAGGTCGGGAGAAGGAGAGGAAACCCCGGATGTGCAGACTGTCACGTGGCTACATAGCAAGGACTCTGAGGAAGGCACAGCCTCCTGTGCATGGGGACAGCAGAGAGTCCATGGAGAAAGCTGAGAAGATTTCATCAATCTACATAGAACGAACCCTTCCATCCTAATTGTCACTGCTGATTGCCCGGCCAGATGCCTAGCACCCCCTCTGGCCCCTACTGAGTGCCTCAGAGCCTCTCACTGGTGGCATCGCAGGGCTATGACCTGGGGTCAGGGATGGTCTCACCCTCAAAAACCCATCAGGGAAATTCTTTTGGCCCGAGAGCTCCTGTGGCTGGGGCAGGACAATTCCCACCAAGGCAAATACCCCTTTGGCATAAATCCATGGGCATATAGTCCCTTCTCAACCTCTGACCTGATGAATTGAACCCAAATTCTTGGGAAGATTAGCAGAAAATGACTGAGTTGTTTACTACCATTTTTGCCACCTACCACCCACCCCACCTGGGCAGACCCTGCTTGGCTTATTCCTCACGGCTGATGAGCGCCAACTAGTGACGGATCAAACAAGGGAAGAAGCTCAAAGGCTTCCTGATGAGGATCCAAATCAAACTCCTGCCCCCACAGAAGCCATTCCTATTAGGGAACCCAACTGGGACCCAAGTGTGGCAGCAGACAACGCCATGATAAGTCATCACTGGAGATGTCTCTTGGTGGGACTCGGGATAGGAGCACCCCCAACAAGAAGCTTCAATAAGATTCAGGAGTTAGAACAAGCTCCGTAAAGACCCCTCTGAATTTCTAGAGCCGATTTCCCAAGCGTCCAGGAATGACAGATGCAGACCCGGAAGCCCCCGGAAGCCTCCGTATGGTGAATCTGACTTTCATTTGGCAAAGTGTCCCGGGCATGAGGAGAAGACGATGGGCGATGGGCATGAACCCCTCACAGCTGACTATTCCCAGGAGGAACAGAGACAGACGTCAGCGCGTTTGATTGGCAGCCCCTGCGAAGGCGCATTAGGGGGTCCACAGGAAAGCAAAAGGACCGGCGCCCTCCGTGGAGGCAGATCAGTGTGCCTGCTGTGAGGAGGAAGGACACTGGGGACAACCTTGTCCATGGATGGCCTCCCAAATCCAAGGCTCAGATGACGAGTGACGGGGCCCAGGGCTCCAGGCCTTGTTGGAGGCCTCTGTACCAAGAGCCCCCGAGGAGCCCTTACTGGACTGGCCAGGGACCTCCCAGGGGGGATCCCTGACGGCAGTGAGTATTTTTCTGGCTACACTTTATTGCCCTGGTGGGGAATTGGGGCCCATCATTGGGTCCTCCGAAATCTGTCCAAAACTTTGATCACTCGGGCCAATGAGACAGCCTGGTCCCTTTCAAATTTACAAACCTCTCTGAACTCCTTGGCCAAAGTACTTTTAGATAACCAGGTGACTCTCTGTGAGCAGGGTGAGGGGGAGTCTGTGCTCTAGCTGAGCATCCTGCTGGGTTCATTTGGACACTCTTCACAAGTGGAGGCTGGTATCGAAAAGATCAGGCAAACAAGCAAATAACCCCGGTTATTTTGCTGCAACTTTTTTCCTGATAATCCTTCCTCCTCTGAACTTTCTTCTTTCTGACTAGAGTTCCTGGGCTTCCATCAACACATGCCCTAACTGCTCTTGGTTCCACTGGGGTGCCTTCTTCCCTTAGTAATTTACTTAACACCCCTTCCATATTTTCGTCACAAAGACAGTACAACATTTCAAAACAAGACACAAACATACTGTATCAATCTTCTCCATTTTCTCGAAATGGCCATTTTTCCTCTCTCCCTATCTAGGGACAAGCAGATTTGCTCCCGTCCTATCTAGGGTCGGGCAGCTTTTTTTTTCCGTCACTTACCCCCGAGTGTCCCGGGGCTCCCCGTACAGGCCACCATCTGCCGCAGTCCGGCTGCAGCAAAATAACCGGGGGGTGATGAACAACTTGTGTACATTGATACAGCAGGAGTGGGAGCCGTTTATTGTAGGACAGGAGGGGTATATATACATTCCACACAGCTTATCTTAATTCACATAAACTAGATACAGCAGTCAACCAATAAGGAATCTCCACACTTAATGGCTCGCTGGTGTTACTTCACAAACCACTCCCTCTGGCAAAATGCCAGGCGCCATCTTGACTTGTTTACAGACTCTAACACTTTTTTGTTCCTGATTCTCCCTTTGCAACTAAACAACCAACGACAAGAAGGAAGAAGGCAACCAGTGAAACCCTCCCATCATAAAGACCCCCTTCATGGCGCATTCTCAGCAGGAAACAGCTTGGAGATTTCATGGCCCACTTTTCCATAGAAAAAGGTAGAAATCGACGGGGGGGGGGGGGGATATAACCATGGTCCCCTTCACCTTCTCATGGTAGCCCTCATTGCTCTGAGGCTTAGTTTTTAAAAGAATGTGTTTTTTCTCTGTTCTCCCCTGTCCCCTCCCTAGCAAGTTTAGGGACACAGTGTTAATGTTCTCCCCTAGTTAATTTCCCTCAACACACCCACTACAGGAAGGAGCTGCCTGCTGAGGATCTGGGAAGTGAGTATCTCCCCAATCAATAAGTGAATCCTAACACACCATCCGGCATTCTGGGACCCCCTACCAGAGCCCACCTGGAATGTTACCCTTGAAGAGTTCCTCTAACCCCCCCATGTCCCTCCTGATGGCGAGAATCACAGCCTCTGGGACAGGAGTCCTCTGTGTTTCTCCTTTGCTAGCAAAGCAAGAAACCTTCTTTTTTTCCTTTTTCTCAAAATCCTGTCCTTGTTTTTGGATTGGCATCGGGGACAAAGACCAAGCTTTCAGTTACATCACTACAAAAATCATTATTAGAAAGCGATAAACTGGGCAGGTGGTGCACACCTGTAATCCCACAGGCTCCGGCGGCTGAGGCAGGAGAAGGGCAAATTCAAAGCCAGCCTCAGCAGCTTCGCAAGGCTCTAAGCAACTAAGTGAGACCCTGTTTCAAAATTTAAAAAAGGGGAGGGGGAGCTACGGATGCAGCTCAGTGGTTAAGCACCCGGTTTAATCCCCAGGACGAGAGGAAGGAAGGAAGGAAGGGAGGGAGGGAGGGAGGGAGGGACGGAGGGAGGGAGGGAAGGAAGGAGAAGAAGAGAAATACAAACTAAAGCGAAGCAAGCGAGGAGATTCCCCGGAGGATGCAGCCCCCGTAGGCCCACAAAGACCAGCTGTAGACCCGAGCCCCCACCCCCACCCCGCGCAGGCAGTGCCTGAGCTCAGGTCCCCGCTGCCAGTTCCCACAAGCCCCGCTTTCCCAGAAGGAGCCAGCAGGCCTCTGGGCCCTGGGCCATCTGGGCACCTGCGGTGTCTGCCCCTGCACGCCTGCCCACCGCTGGCCAGCACACCTGGGAGTGCCTGGGGCCTTCCCAGGCCTGGAAGGAGCAGATAAGGTGTGACAGTGCCTGGCTGTTCTTAGGGAGAGGGGTTTTCCGATGAGAACGGCCCTCCCCCTTCTCTCCCATCCCCTCTGCACCAGCCTGGAGCCTGGAGGGGTGTCCCCGCCACACACACACTGCACAGCGGGCTACGGCTGAGAACCAGGGAGGAAGAGGCTAGCCAAGGCCAGGGGCCAAGGTGGGAAATCTCTTTGACTCCTCCCCAGGCTGCCATGGCCCCGAGTTCAATCCCAGCTCCACTGTTCCCACACAGTGTGCCCATCACCACCCTCACCACCCCCACTTTTAATTGAGGTGTGATTCACATACCTAACATTCACCTTTTCAAGTATAGTTTAAATATATTCACTTAACTTCCTGATTTGAGGACATTGTCATCACTCGGGAAAGACGCTCTATACCCAGTGTCCGTCACGTCCTGCCTGCTGCCCGCCCCCAGCCCTGGGCAGCCCCTGCCTTTCCTAGGCTTGCCCATTCTGGAGATTTCATACAAATTAAATCAAATAATATGTGGCCTTTCGTGGGTTGGTTTTGTTGTTTGTTTTGTTTTGTTTTTGAGGTACTATTACCGAAAACCTTGTCCTTGTCCCCAGTGCCAATCCAATCACAAGCCCATGGTTTTGAGAAAAAGGAAACAAGAAGATTTATTGCTTTGCTAGCAAAGGAGAAACACAGGGGACTCCTGACCCAAAGACTGTGACTCTGCCCTTCAGCAGGAACAGAGGGCTTTTAAAGATTCAAAGACTATGTTCCACCCATCCTCCGCTGGAGTTGTGATTCTATTGTTAATTAATCAGAGAGAGTCATTTCTGAGGTCTTCGTGCCATCCCCAAAAGTCTGGATCACTTTGTTCCTGTGGTGGGTGTGTGCTCAAGGACAGAGAAATCTGCCCAGGAGGGGAAAAAGGTGATCCTGTTTCCTCTGAGATCAGGGATGGGGAGAGACAGGGGAAGAGAAAGAACCACGTTGTGAGGATGGCCTTGGACCTGTGCCTAGCAACTCCATTTTAAAACTCCAGTTTGAAACCTGCAGTCTCACCAGGCTCACCTAAGGGAACCCTCCAGTGTGGCCCTCAGGCCCAAACAAGTCCCTTCTCCCCACCCTCATAAACCCAGAGTGAAGCCTCTGGCAGGCTGTCCTCCCCCCAGATAAGGGGGAGAGGTGGGAAGATCAGGGTGGGGCCACCAGGCCAGATGTTTTAACTCCAGGGTAAATGAGGACACTGAGAGACCTGGTGGCAGCTGATAAGGACTGAAAGGGGGGGTCAAAAGCCCCCAAATTTGGTATAAATAGTGGAGCCAATGAACAGACACTCAGCCAGCCGACACTGGTGCCCTCATGCTGAGAGCCTGGTGAGGACCTGTGCTGACATCCCAGCTCTTCTCATCGTTTGCTGATCCTCTGCGTCTTCCTCACGGGTCTCAAACTTTCCAGCCACATCTTGACCCTGGTGACAGCCGCAACTTCCCCCTAGGACCCTCTCCTCAGCCAGCCATCAGCTCCACCCCAGGAGAAGCCTGCCTTCCTGACCTGATCACGGGATCTGAGTGAGTGTGCATCTGCTGGACTAGAGCCTAAGGCTTGAGACTTTAGATCTGACACTTGAGCTTAGCGGGCAGAGGAAATGTCTGTCAAGAGTCTGTCATGATTAAGAGTGTTTGCAGGGCTTAGAATTCATCTAGAATTGTTTGCTGTGGATTGATTATGTCTACTGCAGTGCCTAGCATTAAGGATGGTCGTTTCCTTGATTAAGAACCTAGAGACTGAAATTGTATTGAGTGATTTGAGTGAATAAAGCATTGGAAGGGGCAGAAGCACGTGGACATTCTTTATTTCTTCCCCTCGACTGCAAAAGTCACACCTCTTGCCAACGTGACCCATGTCCATTTTAAAAATAAGTTCCGTGGTAGAGCAGCAAGGCTGTATTCAGAGCATAAATTGGGCACTGTCTCAGTACTGGGGGTTGAACACGGGGAACACACACACTGAACTCCATCCCCAGCCTTTTTTAATTTTTGTTCTGAGATAGGGTCTCACTAAGTTACTGAGGTTGGCCTCAAACTTGCTGTCCTCCTGCCTCAGCCTCCTGAGTTGCTGGAGTGCAGACGTGCACCACTGCACCTAGAAAGACGTGGCCCTTTGTAGTTGGCTTTTTTTCAGTCAACATAGTGTGCTCCAGTTTATCCAGGAGGTGGGGTCTATTAGAACCCCATTCCTTTTATGGCTGAAGAGTAACCCATCGTCTGTACCACACTTGTTTATCCATTTGACAATTGTGGAAGTTGGGTGGCTTCTATTTTGGGGATACATGCTTAATTCTGTTATGAACATTCGTGTCGTTTTTGAGTGGATGTGTATTTTCAAATCTCTCAAGAATACCCCTAAAAGTGGAATTGGGCCATTTGATGATTTTGTTTTGCCCCCTTCGGGAACTGCCAAATGTTTTCTACAGCAACGGTACAATCTTATGTTTCCGCCAGGTGTATTTCCTAACCCCTCTGGACCTAAGCTTCCCGTTGGTGAAGCCTCATGTATCGGGTATCTACCGTATAGACGGGCCACAAGATTTAAATGAGATCCTATCAGAAAGGCAGCTAGGGCAGTAGGAGCTCAATAAATCAAGTCAGGATCTGTAACCCTCTGGGCTTGTTCCTTTGGTCTCCTTCCAATCCAAATGGGCAGCTGCTCTTTATCCTTCCCTCTTGTTTACCTAGTTCTTGAATCTCCCTTGATGGATTGGATTAAGCTCACCACATGTCTCTGGAGAGGGTCTGAGGAGTTCCCAGAGGAAAGGGGAGGTCTCAGAACCAGCAGGGCTCTTGGCATACATGAAAAGAATCTCCGCAGGAGCCAGACAAAGGCCCAGACAGGTTTATTTAAGGAGTAGATACATTCCAGGGAGAAAGCCGGCTGACAGGGGCTGGGGCTCCGATATTTATAGAAGGGCAGGATCAGGGGCCGGACTGGAGGTGGATCCAGGGAGGGGCTGCACGATTTCATGCCAGTTTTCCTTGTGCATGTGTTTCCCTCCTGTTACAAGGGCCTGGGTCAAGGGCATGGGCCAAGGGTGAGGGTCAAGGGCCAAGGTCAAGGTTGACAACTGTGCTTTCTGCATCCCAATGGCTGTGGTGTTTCCTTTAAGAGTCAGTATTTCCCTCTCTTTATCCTGAATCCCTGTCTCAGAACACAATGCCTGCTGCCTAGGCCCAGGTGCACCCACGTGCACACATACACACACAATTTAATAGGGGCCAAACTAAACAGGTGAAATTCCCCTCACCCCCCATCCTGCTTGGTACATTAGAGCTAAAATCAAATACTACAGTGATTCTCCAAGTGTGGAACCCAGACTGGCAGCACCATCACTGCTAGAATCACCCAGGAACTGGTTAAAATAAACCCTCAGTCCCTGTCCCAGAAAAAAAAAAAAAAATTGGAATCAAGGACTCTGGTAATGAGCTCCGGCAAATGCGGGTTTCAACACGCCCTACAGGTGCTTGGAATGCAAACTAAAGTTCCAAATTACAGATGAGAAAACTGAGGCCCAGAGAAAGGATATAACTTGCTCAAGGCCATAAAGAACAAGAGCCAGGGAACTGTGCACAACTGTGTGACCTTGGACAAGGCCCTCCCCTTCCTTTACTTCACTATCCCCATCTGTAAAATGGGGACGGCCGCCTCCGCCTGCCACCACAGCTTTCCCCATCTGCCCCCACAGCTCTCGAGGCAGCTGAGGGCTGGAGCCTGAGTTTCCTGCTTCCCACTCTGGTTCTCTTACTTCTGGAAGTTGACTCTCTGCACCATCTATGAGAAGGTTCTGGAAACTGTCAACATCCGAAAGGTGGACAGGGAGAGGAGGGTTTTGTTTGATTCTGAGACCCCCGAAGGAAGAACTCCATGAGCAGGGGAAGTTTCAGAGGTAGGTCTGTGTAAGGATGCCATTCCCAAGAAGAACTGCTCCAAGAGCATCAGCAGCCCCGAGATGCAGAGCCATCTGTCCACGGGGAGAGTCCTGGCAGCATCGGAGCCTGTCTTTCCCAGGGGGAGAGGAGAGACTGGGAGGAAGCTGGTGTGATCTCCTGGAGATCTGCTCCCCTGCCACTCCTCAGGGAGGTGAGAGCTGTTTGTCTTCACAGCTTCTCTGTCCCCTGAGAAGGGCAAGGGCAACCGCCCATACCTCAGACCACACTATTGGCTCAGGCAATAGAATGTGACCCAAGCCAGGCCAATCAGAATATTTCTCCGCCAGAGCATCTCACAGCCACATCCACCCTTGAACTTCCCAATCTGGTGAGCACCTGGGTTCCTCTTTGCTGAAGACTGTTCGGGGTTTCTCTCTTTGCAACTGACAAATTCTTACCAACCCCACATGAAAATAGGCCTGTCTCCTTCCAGCATGCCCTTCAAATAAGAGCAAGAAAAGCAAGAGTCAAAACAATAGCTTAAAGCCTTATAAAATATATACTCTCTTGGGGGAAAAGTGCCCAAAGGATATTCAGTTTCAACTCAGAGCCTAATGTTTTGAAATCCAGTTCCTCCGAGTCTTTTCAAACATTCATACTCTCCAGGGCAACTAAACCCTAAACTTGCTCCTTTCTTCTCCAAAAGCCCTAAAATCTCTTTACAAACCTACTCCCAGTTAGCTGTTACCTTTTCCTCCTCTCCTGCCTGTTCCAAAGTCTGTCACCCTAACATTGCTGGATACTTTGTGGCCCAGCCATAATTCACACTCTTGTTTTTTTTTTTTAATATTATTTTAGTTGTAGAGGGACACACCATATCTTTGTTTATTAATTTATTTTTTTATGTGGTATTGAGGATCGAACCAGTGCCTCACACATGCTAGGCAAGCACTCAGCCACTGAGCTAAGTCCCCAGCCCCCGTAATCCACACTCTTAGCCCTACTTTTTTTTGCTTTTGGGTATCGAGGATTGAACTCAGGGGCACTCAACCACTGAGCCACAACCCCAGCCCTATTTTGTATTTTATTTAGAGACAGGGTCTCACTGAGTTGCTTAGCGCCTCGCCATTGTTGAGGCTGACTTTGAACTCGAAATCCTCCTGCCTCAGCCTCCCCAGCCCCAGGGATTACAGGCAGGCGCCACTGCACTTGGATTTTTTTTGTTCGTTTGGATTAGTTTAGTTTTGTGGTGCCAATGATGAAACCCGGGACCTTGCTGTGAAGACTCTACCACTGAGCTACCCCCAACCATTGCATGATCCTCTCATTCTCTCTGGAGGCAGGAGAGAGAGCTACTGAATCCTTACACGGTAATATGGTTCTATTACAGAAATCAGACAAGAATCAGCAAACGGCACTTGAGAGTGAGAGAACTCAAACCCCATTTTAGCAGGTGGGCTCAGAAGAGCTCAGACTCCAAATTCTGAGTGCTTGTCACCAGTTTCTCACAAAATTTATAGGCTAGCTGGTGCCATAAAATTTTCCAGTCTACAGGATATGTGGTCATGCAGGGGGTCTCTGGCGGGAAGCATGTTAACAGAAGTAGAGTGGGATAAGGAGAAGAACTGGCCTTTGATAAATCTCTAGTCTTGGGCCAGAAGCCTCTGCAGGGGTGTTTACACTCCAAAGAAGAGCAGTTAGTTCCCTAGGGGTAGTTACTTACAATCCAAAAGCCAGGGTGGGTGATACGAATCAGGTTTCCTGAAGAAAGGCTGACTGGCAAGGAGAGGGGACTCTCGCTTTCCCAGGCACTAATTCTCAGGATTGTGTTCTTACAATTTATTGTACACCCAGGCCTGGTTCTCTCGTCCATTAGAGTTCTATTTCTCCAATGACACTCCCCCCCCCCCAATAGGATTCTCCTCCTGATGGTAGCCCTCATTGCTCTAAGGCTTATTTTCTTTTTCCCCCTCTGGTCTCCCCTCTCCCCTCCCTAGCAAGTGTAGGGACACAGTGTTAATGTTCTCCCCTAGTTAATTGCCCTCAACACACCCACTAAAGGAAGGAGCTGCCTGCTGAGGATTGGAAGTGAGTATCTCCCCAATCAATAAGTGAATCCTAACACACCATCGGGGTGCCCTGGGGCCCCCTACCAGAGCCCACCTGGAATGTAACCCTTGAAGAGTTCCTCTAAAGCCCCCATGTCCCTCCTGATGGGGAGAGTCACACCTTTGGGACAGGAGTCCCCTGTGTTTCTTCTTTGCTAGCAAAGCAATAAACCTTCTTTTCCCTTTTTCTCAAAACCCTGTCTTCATTATTAAATTGGCATTCAATGGCATTGGGGACAGGGACCGAGTTTTTGGTTACAAATTTGCTGAGGATGGAAGGGAACTTTCTGAGACTGACTGCTGGAAAGTCGGGCGACAGGCGAGCGTGTCTCATGTCTCGGGTCGAACCAGAGGAGCTATTCCTGTGAGAGTCAAGGGAGGGACGGAGGGACTCCCCGCAGCTGCTGAAGCCCTCCCACCTTCCTTCCCTGCACTGTAAGGGTCGCTCCATCTTGGTCTATTTTGAAAAAAGGGAACCTGAATGCAGAATTTAGCCATTTGGTAAGCTCCCCCAGGGTGATTGATTCTACTTTTCTGGTTCCCTAGTGGGAACGTCTGGTCCCCTTATGGGGACATCTGTGGTGCCACTGGTATGCAAGTCACAGTTAATTGGGAGTTGGGAACTTGGGGGATTTCCCCCCTATCTGGTCTGTTTTAAAGGTTCCCCTCTGTTTGGGATCCTCTCTAGTTTCTGTCTCTATGCTTTTTGTTTGTGTCTGTTTCTGGCCCTTTAAGACATGGGCAAGACTGTGTTGATGGGTCCCATAGATTGTTTCTTGGGAAAGAACTTGGCTGAATGGGCCACCTACAGATGTAAGTGTATCTAAGAAAAAAATGATGTTTTACTGCAGCAATGTGGTCTTTGAATGGTTTTCTGAATTATTACACAATCTTGCAGTTGGGAGTTGGTCTGTCAGAGATAAAATAAGTGGAAGATTCTGTATGTACAGGCATGTATGCCACTACATAATAAGGAGTCGAACAGTCAAAAACTAAGTTGGATGCAAAAAGTTCCTCCCTCTAATGTGTGAGCATAGCAGGATACCCAAGAAAGATTGAAAAAAAATCTTTTTTTTTTTCCTTTGAACCCAGTGCTTCTCAGCCTGGCCCCAGGCAGCTGCAAATCAACCTGCTGAGGGTCAGGAAAAAACTCAGGAAAGCTGCCTGGTCTCTAGAGAAATGGGCCAAGAGGACCTGGCCTCTACTCTGCTTCCCAGCCACTCTTTGCCCATAAGGATAGAACAGGGCTCAGTTTGCCACTTCTGCAGACAAAGGAAATCCATGTGCACTGAGGCCTCACTGATTTTCTTTCTGGGCTCTTGTCTCATGGGTTCAAAGAATGAAGTCCACGGATGATGGCAAAGACAAAAAAATTTAAAAAAAAAATAAATTAGCTTTGAAAGAGAGGAAAAAAAGATAAAACTTCCTGTGATATTAGGGGGAAACTGGTAGAAACTTTTCCACTTAAGTATACTAGTGTGGGGACTCAAAGGATAAAGCACTGATAGAGTCCATGCTGGGCAGACACCAAAAGCATTGGAACTAACTGTTGGAATCTGGGCCTCTGCGTTGCCCTGAGTATTCTCAGGGGTGCTGGACATGTTTTATGTTCTCTACTCTCTCACATTTCTATTAAGATATAATAAAGTAACTGAAGTTCCCGAAGGAGTGTACATTTTGTGACTTTTAAGTGGAGAAAGCAGGGTGGTGGCCTTGTTTTGTGTAACTCCAAGTCCGTATTATTTCCATTGTTTTTACTGTTTCTGAAACAGGAGGAAATTGCCTGCCGCGACTGGACACCTGCCTCCAGGAACCCAGAGACTCTGCCAGGTGCTCTTGGTTAATGCCTTTGAGACTGACTAAGAATTGCTCACTGATACAAGGTAGGGTAACAAGGGAAGTAAGCCATCTGAAGCTGTCATTGAAGACATTTTTTTTTCCCTGCTCATTTCCAAATCCCATGTGCCACCTCAAATCTGCTTTTTTTTTTTTTTAATGCAATGTTACTGAATTTAACTGAATTTCTGCCAAAGTCCCATTTCACCCATAGCTTACGTCCAGATTTCTCTACAACATCACACGGTCCTATTTATTCTAAACAAAGATGTCTGGAATAGTTCCAGTGATGTCTTTCCTGTTTTTCTGTTTGTGTATGCCACTTTGATAGATTTAAGCTTGCCATCCATGTTTCTACAAACCTATCATCTATTAACTACTTTTAGATTCTAGAGAATCCACCTTTTCATAGGATACATTTTAAAAAAACAAAAAAGGTAAGATTAAAAACAGGAGGAGGTAGAAGAAGAGGAAGAGAATTACAATAAGCAGATATACAACCAAGTTCTTGGAAGAATTATTGCTGAAAACATAATTATTACGCATTAACAGCAATCAGCTAGCACGAGTCAAAGGAAGCTGTATTCTCTAAGTACTTCAGACAATGTGGTATTCATTTATCAATTCTTTTTTTTTAATATTTATTTTTTAGTCATAGGTGAACACAATGTCTTTATTTTACTTTATGTGGTGCTGAGGATCGAACCCAGTGCCTCATGCATGCTAGGTGAGCGCTCTCCTCTGAGCCACAACCGCAGCCCTTATTTATAAATTCTTGATAGCTCTTTGGATAAAGCATGTAAAATAATTGTACAGCAGTCCATTATCTGACTGAATAATCCTTTTTAAATTATTTTTTTAGTCGTAGATGACACAATACCTTTATTTATTTATTTATTTATTTATTTTTATGTGGTGCAGGGGATCAAATCCAGTGCCTCGCGCATGCTGGACAAGTGCTCTACCACTGAGCCACCACCTCAGTCCCCAACTGAATATTGTTTAATTGTAGTTATAATATGTTTGAAATAATTTTTCCAAACCCTCAACATATTTCCATTCAAATATATGATCCACATTTAATGTAGCATTAAAAAGATTAAAATGGGTATAAAAAAAGTGAATGAGGCCTTTTAGTCCAAAAGGACCCTGAGAAAAGCAATCAAAACTGTTATCTTGGACTGGGGCTATAGCTCAGTGGTAGGTCACTTGCCTCACAAATGTAAGCCACTGGGTTCGATCCTTAGCACCACATAAAAATAAATACATAAAAAAGATATTGTGTCCATTTACAACTTAAAAAAATTAAAAAAAAAAAACTTGTTATCTTAACCAAGATTTTGTTTTGGGAGGAAATAACTTGCGGGCCAGCGGGGAGATAACCCCTTAAGAGAGAGACATTAAAGGGGATTTATGCTGTCTTCTGGGCAGTTGTCTAAAATGTGGATTGAGACAGCTTTGCCAGATATCCTACTTTGCCTATCCTGCCTGATAAAAAAACCCTCACTGATGAGTCCCAAGTTGTGCAAGGCTTGAGAGCTATAAAATATTAAAGTGTGATATCCATTGCTTTCTTAGGATTTTTCTTTGTTAGAAAAACAGATGACTTGCAATTTTGACCAAACTTGATTTTTCATGAATAACCTGAATATGTGTGACTAGAGATATGTATACAGCTCAAACTAAATATGTTTGAGCCTTATCTAAATGTTATGTAAAAGTTTATAAAATGAAAATGCATATAGGTTTATACATTGCATCTGCCATAAAAGGGCCACACTGCCATTTGAGAAACTGGCTTATCTCTCTCTGCTTTGACTAAGCCTAATTCTGATCATTAACACTGTTCCCTAAATGTATAAAAGATTTAAGGCTCTCCTTGATTTTTGCTAATACTGCTAAACTCTGCCAGCCTGTAATTATCTGTGGATTCTGAATTTTACTATAAAAATTAAATCTAGTTGATTTAAAGACATATGTGTAATGGTTATGCTAAATATTAGTTCTTTGTATATTAAGTATACTCATGTTCTTCTGATATACAAGTTTTAAAATATAAAGCTCAGAAGACACTTTACCAATCTGGTGTTCTCTAAACTAAAGTTGTCTCTAATGATAACTTTAGACTTATAAAAATAGCTAATTTAATTGGGGATCTATGTCATTTAATGTTCTATAACTGGACCTGTTATCAATAAGATGTATATAAAATTTTATATTATGGGGTAGAAATTTAAATGTATTTTTAAAAGATAACAAGAGCCTGATCTGTTTAAAGGTGGACATTGTAAAACATGAAAACATTTTGCCACTTTCCCACCAAAAAAGGGTTAAAAGCTCTCTTAGCTTTTCTTTGATTCATATTTCAGATGTAATAATGTATTGTGTTATTTGTGAAGAGCCTCATCTTATCTGAGATAAGGCTTTGCCTCCCACCTTACTCCACCTTAGAATGTCTCCCAAATAGGCTAGACTTAGCTCCTTTAAAGTTGTGTTCAAAAGATTGATTTTTGTTGTAAAGATTACTGTGATCTCAAACAGGGGATATAGTATATAACTAAGTAAAGGTTCAAGATTATAAAAGTTATTTTTCTTGGTTCATAGCTATTACACAAACTGAATGTTTAGGCTCTGTTAATTTCATTTTGTATTTTCCTTGTAAACTTTATAACTGTTGCCTGTTAGTGTTTTGCAGAGGTACTATATCTAAAAGGAGAAAAAAAAATGTAGGTTAATTTGAGAGAATAAGCAATCACCTACAGATAAATAGTGTATAATGCTGACTTCCAGTACTAATACTAACCCCAATTAAATGAAAGAGGTAACTATAAAATTATAGATATTGAAGTTACAACCTGTTACTCCCTCTTTAAGACTGGTGAAACTGGCTTGCTGGGTGTTTAAAACCAAAAACTTGGAGACCAAGCCAAGAAAGTAAAAGGGCCAAGGAAAAAAGGAGGTAATATTTGGCTCTTGCCTTCTAAGGTCAGCCAGCACCCAGAGAATGACAGGACCCTGTAAGGGCTCTGAAACTCCAGTGAGTCACCTGATCTGCCAGTCAGGGGGATCAAGAAGACCCTAAAGAACAGAATGCCAACAGGTGCACATTCTGTAAAGAGGAGGGTCATCGGAGAGGGAAATGCCTGATGCTTCCAAGAGAAGCCACATGTGGTCATCAAGACCCTGACCTGACCCATCCTGGCACATGACACCACTAGTAGCAGAAAGCTCAAGGAGCCAGCAGGCTTCACACATGTCCCCAAGAGTGGTCTCTGAAGAATTGCAGTTGATTCTTAAGAATAGATAAAAACAAGGTCAGTTTTGACCAACCTGGTCTTAAACACCTGGCAGGAGAGTACAGCCTGAGCACAGTCCTACATGGACATTTAAAAGGAAAAACAATGTTTTGTTTGTTTGTTCTGCTTTTTTTTTAATGTAACTTAAGATGTACACTTATGTCAGCCTTATCAAAATAAGTTAAGCTGCAGGCTATACGGAAGGGTTCTGTGGGAAGGCTTAATATTTAGCCCCACGAAGGACACTGGAGACACAAGTTTGTCCTGCATTTCAGTAACTGGCTAGAAACTAATTGTTTTTGTATTAATTGTTTACCAAAAAAGAAAAAAAGTAATGCTTTGTGTCTTGTTTCTTGTTGTCCCAGCATAAACTTAACCCTATGTACGCCTTGTCCAGTCACCTGCTACCTGCCACCTTGGAACTCTGGACTGCTATTATGCTGAATGCCCTTAACTGTCACTCCCCCGCCTGACAGAAAATAAGGACTTGGGGTCACTTCCCCCGAATTTCGCCCTCTCTCAGCATGAAGTGGCTTGGAGACGACGTCGCCCACTTTTCCTTAGAAATGGAAGGTGCAAATTGACAGTAGGGAAATGTAACAGGGGTCCCTTCACCTTCCGAATATGGCCCTCGTTGCTCTAAGGCTTTTTTTTTTTTTTAAAGAACATGTTTTAGGTGGCTGTGGTTGTGGCTCAGTGGTAGAGTGCTTGCGTAGTGTGAGTGATGCATTGAGTTCGTTCCTCAGCACTCCATTAAAAAAAATAAATAAAGGTATTGCATCCATCTACAACTAAAATACTAAAAAAAAGAAGAGGAAGAACATTTATTTTGTCTCTCCTCCTCTCTTCCTTCCCTAACAAGATTAGGGAGACAGTGTTCTCTTTTCCTCTTTTCTTCCCCTAGTTAATTGCCCTTGAACACACCCACTATGGGAAGGAGATGCCTGCTGAGGATCTGGGAAGTGAGTACCTCCCAAATTAACAAGTGAATCCTAACACACCTGGGACACCACCTCCCCACCCCCCCACCCCCAGAGCACACCTGGAATGTAACCCTTGAAGAGTTCCTTAAATTAAAACTACCCCCCACCTCCCTCATCCCCCATCCCCTAATCTCCCCCCCCCACACCCCTCCCTCCTGATGTAGAGAGTCACAGCCTTTGGGACAGGAGTCCCCTCTGTTTCTCCTTTGCTAACAAAGTAATAAAGCTTCTTTTTCCTTTTTCTCAAACCCATGTCCTCATTATTAAATTGGCATTCATTGGCATTGGGGACAGTGACCAAGCTTTTGTGACAAACCCAGGGGCATTTTACCACTGAGCCACAACACTAGCCCTTTTTATTTTTTTATTTTGAGACAGGGTCTCACTAAGCTACTGAGGCTGGCCTCTAACTTGTGATCCTCCTGCCTCAGCCTCCCCAGTCACTGGGATTACAGGTGTGCATTGCCATGCCTGGCTTTACACATCATTCTTAAACATATTATTCTTTAGGTTAGTGGAAGATGGAAAAATTCCAACTATGCTTTCAGAAGAGGTCCTGGGGTCTTGTAAGTATGAGTCGTATGAGAAGTTTAACTCTACCTAGTAAACACTGAGTGGCTATTAGGGCCCTTCTAAGAGCTAGAAGTAGTAGGGCTGAGTCATTTGGGGGACTATGGGATTGTGTTTGAATGAGCCCCAGACATTGAAGTTTTGCTTATGCACTGTTCATTGAGATTTGTTGTTTGTTTATTTGTTTATGTGGTGCTGCAGGTTGAGGTCAGGGCCTTGCACATACTAGCCAAGTGCTCTGCCACTGAGCTACCGCTCCAACCTTCACTGAGCAACTACTATGTGCCAGCCCTTAAGTCACTGAGGATATATCCAGGAAGAAGGATAATAAATGTACAAAACAACTTATTTCTATGAAATTGTGATTGTATACCACTAAAGAGACTGCTATGCTTAGAATGTGTCCCCTAAAATCGTGTTGGAGACAAATCCTCAATGCATCATCACCATTGGGAGGTGGGCCCTAAAGGAGATGTGTAGATCACGAGGGCTGAGCCTCATACATGGATTAATCTGCTGTGGAAAACACTTCTGGAGTGGGCTATCTCTCTCCTGCTTGTTTCCATGTGAGAACAGGATGCTTCTTCCCTCCAGAGGATGCAGAGCTCAAGGGGCCATCTTGGAAGCAGAGAGGGGGGCCCTAATCTTTTGGCACATTGACCTTGGACTCTCTAGCCTCCAGAACTGTAAGAAATAAATTTAAAAAAAAATTTTTTTTGGTACCAGGGATTGAATCCAGGGGCACTCAACCATGGAGAGCCACATCCCCGGCCCTATTTTGTATTTTATTTAGAGACAGGGTCTCACTGAGTTGCTCAGCAACTCACTTTTGCTGAGGCTGGCTTTGAACTTGCGGTCCTCCTGCCTCAGCCTCCTGAGCAGATGGGATTACAGGCATGTGTCACCCTACCCAGCCGAGAAATAAATTTCTGTTGTTCATAAACTACTTAGTCTGTGGCGTTCCATGATAACAGCACAAAGGGGACTAAATCAGAAAGACACATGGGGATTGGAAGCAAACCAAAGCCAAGGTTAAGGAAGTAACATAGACCTGAGGCTGAAGCAGTAGATTGTGATGGCCAAACCAGAGCCGGCTGTGAAATGAAATTATAAAAACGTTATGGTAAGAAACCAAGGCCTAGAAAGGGTCAGCTCCCCTCCCCTCCTCAGCCTTTCTCAGGAGGCCTAATGAACCATGGGTCCCAGCTTCTGCGTGGTAAGTAACTGCCTAGGAGTCCGACTACTCCTTGAAATGTAACCGACGCCTGGGGCGAGGGCCTGTCTTCCTCTCTCTGTCTGTGAGCACGCTTTGTGTTAGGGACCCTGCGCCAGGCCTGCGGCCCTGGAGATGACAATTTTTTTTAAAGAGGAAAAAAGCCCCAGTGATAGGATGGTTCTAAGATGACCCCAAATAACCTATAAATGTTGTGAGAAACTGTGGATCAGCGCTCAGAATTTGGAGTTTGTTTCCCTCTGGGCCACCAAGGTAAAATAAAGGCTGGAGTTCTTCTCCTTTCCAAGAGCTGCTTCTCCAGCAGTCTCTTCCTGCAACAAGATGTCCGCTACAAGACCAGTGTCCGGAAAGGCCAGGAGGCAAGAAAGAGGGCGCCTGCTGATGCTGTGGCTGTGCCCAAGACCCACAGGGGAGCTTCCATGGGCAGGTGAAAGAAAACCTTCGACTGCCTGGAAGAGACCTTGGGCCTGGTGGAACACCAGAGTCTCCGGCCCCAGGGCTTAGGGTGTGGTGTGCTCTCAATGGAAGAGCTTCAAGTATGGTGCCACCCATGTGGGCTCCTCTGACATCCACGGAAGGGGGCTTCTCCCACCCTGCGGCATGCTGGGGCTGGCACACAGGAGCCTACTTCCATTCAGGGCCTCGTGCTGCTAGACTCACAGTAGCTTCAGGATCCACACCTCCAAGTAGGGCTCCCATCAAACTGCTTCTACTAATAGCCCAACCCAAAAGGGAGGCTGGCATTCTGGTGCCCACGGTGCCAACTGAAAAGGCACTGCCCATCGCTAATCAGGAACTGATCAGATGGGGGATTTCCTTCTCATTTGCCCTTAATCATCTGAGACTGAATAGCAGAAGTCTAAACCACAGCTTTCAGTACAGACAGACCAGGGTCTAAATGTCAGCTGTCACTATAATTAGCCACGTGTCATAGGAAGCATCGTCACCTTTCTGAGTTTCATCTAATAAAAGACAATATGAGGGCTGGAGATAGAGCTCAGTGGGTAGAGTGCTTGCCTCCCACGCACAAGGCCCTGGGTTCAATCCCCAGCACCACAAAAACGAAACAGCAAAAAATACACAATATTAGCCTGGCACAGAAGAGCACGCCTGTAATCCCAGCAACTCGGGAGGTTGAGGCAGGAGAATCGCAAGTTTAAGGCCAGCCTCAGCAATTTAGCGAGGCCCTAAGCAACTTAGCAAGAACTCTGCCTCAAAAAATAAAAAGGGCAGGGATGCAGCTCAGTGATAAAATGCCCCTGGGTTCCATCATCCGCCCCCCCCCCCCCCGCCACAAATCCTATAAGTGCTTCAGTATACTGAGTGCCACTGTACATCAAGGACTCAATAAAAGTGTCCCTGGCTTGCAAAGAAGTGATATTAGCCCAATTATATTGTCTTACACAAATATGTAACCAATTCTATCATTATGTTCAACTCTAATGCACCAATAAAAAATAGGAACAAAGTGCTACTGGTAGTTTCCAATAAAAAGATATCAATAGAGATATACCCACCAATGAATTTATTATCAGCACCTGGCATACCTGGAAAGAAGCTGAAGCAGCCCACTGAGGACCACGGTAGAGCTGAGGCTGTGGTAACTGGCTGCAATCCCCCACTTGTATCCATATGACATTTTTTAAAGGTTTTGTCAGAGCCAACTTGCCCAAGCCTGTGGTCACAAAATGTCCTTTCAAGGACCCAGGCAACCAGACACAGTTTGCTAACTTGAAATTCCAAGGTGGGGAAAGGTAGAGCCGAATAAGCACGTGGCATATTTTGTCCCAAAGAGTCAGATCCAGAGGCACAGCACATGAGGTGGCCAAAGAGGACACCTGTGTCCCCACTGCCCTGCTGCTCTGGGCTCAGAGTCTGGCTCTGAGGGAAGAGTGCACTTTCTAGTTGGAAAATGAAGCCAAAATTTCCAAGGAGATCCCAAGACATCAAAGCCTTCTTCCACGTGAGGTCTCTTGTCTCTCCAGGCCTCAAAGACAGGGAACACATCTGAACACACCTCTGTGGTTCCTTGTGACAGACTGACTGAGCCAAAAGCATGATGCAAATTCCAGAACCTTCCTTAAACTTCCAAATATCTGCCACCCTGGCCAACCTCAGAGCAGTTTCTGGACTTACCAAGCTCTGGGATGATCCGTCTTCTCCCTACAGACTTGGGGGAGCCAATCTGGGAGCCGGCATTTGGCTTAAATATCAGCACAACTTTGTTTGGTTACACCTGACCGACGGTTGCTGATACCCAGAGAGAAAACAGAGCAATTACCCAGAGGAGGGTGCCATAGAGTCCCGCAAGCCTGAAAGTGGACCCAACCAAACTCCAGCACCTACCCAGGGCTCAAGCTCTCGGGGCTCTCAGACGACACTTCCCAAACCTGTAAAAAGGAGGCAATATATCTTTCAAGAATTGTGTAAGAGCCAGGTGCAGTAGCGCATGCCCGGAATCCCAGTGACTCAGGAAGCTGAAGCAGGAGGATCACAAGTTCAAAGCCAGCCTCAGCCACTTAGCAAAGCCCTAAGCAACTTAGCAAGACCCTGTCTCAAAATAAAAAAATAAAAAGGGCTGGGGATGTGGCTCAGTGGTTAGAGCCCCTGGGTTCAATCCCCAGCACCCCCCCCCAAAAAAAAAAAATTTGTGAAAGGACAGAATATATCATATTTCAAAAATAACAGCTGACAAAAGAAAAAATCTAGCTGGGGTTGTGGTTCAGTGATAGAGGGCTTACCTAGCATGTGTGAGCCCTAGGTTCCATCCCCAGCACTGCCAAAAAGATAAAGTCTAAGATGTTCTAAATCTAATCACCAAGGTTCACAAGATGGAGGTGAAAGAGGTGAGGAAGTTTATCAGACAGCACCTTTGGGCAAACTAATCAAAGACTGTCTCACCTTCTAGAATGTCTGAGGATGACTGGGTCCTGTTTACATATGAACCTTCTGGACTGGTTTTTGTTGTATGTTTGTGGGTTTGATTTTGGTACCAGGAATAGAACCCAGGGATGCTTAACCACTGAGCCACATTCTCAGCCCTTCTTTATACTTTATTTAGAGACATGGTCTTGCTAAGTTGCTAGTGTTGTAGGGACAAAGGAGGCAAGGCACCGAAGATCGCAGGAAGCAGTTTTATTTGGCTGCAGCCAGGTTCAGAGGGTACAGCCTTTGCTGTAATCAATCAATCCCCTGAACCCTGAGTTCAGGAAATTTCAGAGTTTTATACCCAGCGTGTAAGGGGAGGGGCTCAGAAGTTCACAGTCTGCAGAAGTTCACATAAAAGCAGCTTTTTCTTTCACTGTTCTGGGCAAGTTAACTCTTCAAGGACAACACCTGAGAAGGGGAGAGCTTCTTCTCCCCTTTCTTTCCTCCCCCTGCCAGCTGTTACCATGGAGCCCATTTGTAACTTATCTTAAAAATGTAGACATCTCTGTGAAGTTCAACTCAAGGCCAGAGGCCTTGTTTGCACATTTCTTCAAAGTACTATACTGGTTATGTTTGTGAAAAACTAGTAGGGGGGTGTCCAGCACCTGGAGTGCTGGTATCTTCTCGGCCAGTGGCCAAGTAAACAGGGTGACACAAAAATAGGAAGTTTATCTACAATGGACTCTTTTGCTGACAGTCCTAAAATCAGCCATGGTGTAGAAGGCTTTTCTGTGGAGAAAGGGGGTGCCACTTCACTAGGGCCTCACTAAGTTGCTGAGGCTGGCTTTGAAACTGTGATCCTCCTGCCTCAGCCTCCCAAGACACTGGGATTATAGGCATGTACCACCATGCCCAGCTGGACTGTTAACTCCAAATAATCCACATGCACCACATCTTCTAATGGACTTCCCTCCCATCTACAGCCCATGCGGGTTCAATGAAACAGTTTATGATTTCTCCCCCAAATATTCATTATAAAAATGTTTTTCCACCTGCTTTCTGACCTTACCGCTAGTGATTTCTGGAAACTTCTCAGGACCTGGGCCTTCCCTAACTAGCATCTATATAACTCCTTTTATTTCAGATACCCCTCAATCTTAACAGTTTTTTAATTAACACTGCCATAATTAATTTTAGAATAAAAATGAATTTTCTTGTTGGAAAAACAATACATATTATTGAAAAACCTGAAAACTACACATGATCAGAAAAAGAAATCTTTTTTTTTTTGGCACTTTTTATTTATTTTTTTAATTTGTTTTAATTAGTTACACATGACAGTACATGATCTTGACATATCATACATTTGAATAAGATGGGGTATAATTTCTCATTAGAAAAAGAAATCTTAAAAAGGAAATTGCAGCCCAGTGGTGACCCACATCTGTAATCCCTGTGACTGGAGGCTGAGGAAGGAGGCTTGTGAGTTTGATGCCAACCAGAGCAACTTAGCTAGATTCTGTTTCAAAATTTAAAAAATTTAAAAAGGGCTGGTAGTTTTGCTCAGTGATACAGCACCCCTGGGTTAAATCCCTAGGATCACAAAAAAACAAAAACAAACAAACAAAAATCTTATCAACTAGACCATCCAGAGGTAGAGATAACAACCATTAATTATTAATAAATTAGAAGGTATTTTATATTTGTATCTATGCATGTAGACACACACACACACACACACACACACACACCTTTAACAGGCTCAATTTTAGAACTTGTTTTTCTGCAAACATCTCACTACTGTTAAAAATTACAGGAAGCCGTGAACAGTGGCACACCCCTGTAATCCCAGCTGCTTGGGAGACTGAAGCAGGAAGATCCCAAGTTCAAAGCCAGCCTCAGCAAAAGCAAGGCACTAAGCAACTCAGTGAGACCCTGTCTCGAAGTGAAGTGGTTGAGTGCCCCTGAGTTTAATCCCCAGTACCAAAAAAAAAAAAAAAAAAAAATTACAGGAGGCCATTGTTGCACTGGACCTGATCAGACCAGACAAGAATAAAACTCTATAAGAGTCACCCATGCCAAAGTTTCAGTCACCAAACTGAAACTAAGTTGTTTATCTGACCTTCTCGGAAATCAAGAGAAGCGAGAGATAATAGCCAGATTGCCAAACAGGCCAGTTTTAGTTGGCATGATAATAAAGTTCCCTCTGAATTATTCCTTACACACAAAAAAGTAACCTGAGTTATTTTTCTGTCTCCTTGTCTCCACCTGACAGGAAAAGTCACTTTGAAATGACAGATATGCTTTTAAAATTCTTTTTTTAAAATTCTGCTTTCTTCAGTTTTTCCCTGTCTACAAAACCCACTTGCTCTGCTTGGCTCATTGGAACACTGACTCTGTTTTATGGTACTATTCTATAATAAAAATAAAAATATAATCATCATCATCATCATCATCATCATCATCATCAGCCAATCAGGGTCTTTAAATTTGTTTAACAGTGTCTTGGGACATTGCACAGCTTTTAATGACTGCAGATCACCTGCGTGTGGCTTGTGTTTTTTGGAAGCTGTTCCTATGCTGGTGAAGGGCCCAGGCTTTGGTGGCATCAGGGCACCCTGCCCCGCCCCCGTCCAGTCCAGGAAGTTCTAGAGTCCCACATCCCGGGAACGGAGCGTGCGGAGAAGAACCAGGCACCGACGACCCTTGCGGGCTTTCGGGAGAAAACGCGCGCGGAAGCTCGCGGCTCAGTTCCCCGCACGGAGCGCGCTTGGCCCCCGCCAGCGGTGTGTGCGCCGGGCTGCGCTGGCCCTGAACTCTGTCCCTAGTCCACGCTGGACTAACCCTAAGTGTGATTATTAATATAAACAGTTGACCGCCCCCCGCGACACGCCCCCGATTTACTGAAAAACGTCTGGTTTTCCACCCGGACGGTGCGCCACTGCCAGTAGAGGGCGGGGGCGCGGCGGGTCGCTCCCTCCCCGCGGGGCGTCCCCGGGGATCCCCGCCCGCCGCTCCGCCTCCGCTCGCGGCCGCCCGCGTCACCTGGCGGCCCTGGGCCCAAGGCGGGCGGCGGGGACCTGGGCCCGGGCCGGGCGGCCGAGATGTCCGCGCCCGGCCGGTGGGCGCCCCTGCTCCTGGGCCTGCTGCTGACCGCTCCAGGTAAGGGCGCGGGCGGCGGGGAGGGCGGGCGGCGGGTGTCCCCGGCCGGGCCGCGGCTCTAGGGAGGGCCAGTGGGCTGCAGTCGCCGCCGCCAAACCGGCTGGGGAACGGCCCTGCCCGCCCGCTCGCCCGCCGCGGGTTCGCGGCTTCCCGGGAGTAAGCAGCCCAGGATCTTGGAAATGCCCTTCCGGGAAGAAATGAGTTTCCCAATTCCAGCCCAGCTCCAGGTGAACTGGGAAAGAGACACAGTGGCAGCTGAAAAGGCATTTGTTGCATTTTTCAAGTTTCCTAACGCTCTGTTCCCCTGAGCTCAGGCCACTTTTGACCCACTTTTGACCCACTTTTGAGCGGCTGCGGGACAGAGGTAGCCTTCCCTGCCCCTCCTTTGTGGGTGTCACGCACCCCCCTCCCCCACTAGGAGGATGGAGCTCTGGCAGAGCCTGGGCCCTGCTGTGTGTCACCACCAGCTCCCCCATTGGTAATTAAGGTGGCAGGGTACAAAATACGAGGACTGGGACCCAGCCACCACTCCAACCAATCTAGGGAGGAGAAGGGCCAGAAATGTCTCCCCCCCCCCATGTCTTTCTAGTTTTAGACTCACAATTAAAAGAGCTGGAAGGGTCCTTGAACACAATCAATTACAAAAGCCAACCTATTTCGAGCAATGTCTTTGTGCTGGACACTGCATTATCTTATTTAAAAAGCATTTCAACCCATGAGCTGGATATTCTTCTTTATCATATGGGGAAATTGAGGCTTAGACCAGTGAAGGGAATCTCCCAAGAAGGCCAGCAGAGGGGAGGCACGCTGAACTGGGACTCCCGTGGGCAACTGGCACAGGGTGGTGCGTCCACTAGGTCACCTCCCAACTCTGCAGCAGTGTTTTTCCAGCTAAGGAGGGACAGTAAATGGGGGAGGTCTACGTTCCCCTCACAAACTGGTTGTGTAATCTTACATTATTTAATATTTGTCTCTGAGCCTAGTGCCCATTCCAGAAGGGGAATGAATGACACCTACCTTTAGGGTGGTTTGTCATCTGAGGTGTTGTGTATGAAGTGCCAGACCAGGGCCTGGAGCCCTTGAAGTCTCAGTCCCATGTGGCTACTTTAGCTATGAGTTTTCCACTGTGGATGAGCTTAGCCTTTGGACCTGACCTGTCCACAAGTGACTTTATGAGTGACTTGCAGACAGACTGGCCTCCTGCTGGGCACCTGCCAGGCAGTGCTAGAGCTTTGCATAATGGTAGCACCAGTCTAACTATAATCAAGGTCCAGCTAGAGGACACAGGATGGGGTGGAAGCAGGCATCCACACTTGGATCAAAATGTCAGGGGGAGGCAGCCGGGCTGGGAAGCTGAGTGAGCACCGTCAGGAGAATTGGGCCTTCCCTCCATGAATACCTAGAGGAGGAGGTAAGGTCAAGAGCTTAGACCTCGGAGTTGGCTAGGCCCGGATCTGAATCCTGATTCCACAGCTCATTACCTGAGAGGCCCTTGATCGTCCCACTTGTGATGTGAGGATCATGATTAGTACCTGCTCCCAAGGGTGTGGCAAAAGAAAATTTAGTTGAAGTGTTTAGCACAGCCTGTCTTGAAATGAAAATACAGTACGGGTCAGCCGCTATTATTATCTTCATCATCCTCATCATCAAAACCACTGCCTCTTGGAGATGTCGGGGAAAATCAGGGACAGTAAACCCAGGGGAGGAAACAGGATCGCGGATTTGTTACTCGTACATCCTGAGCAGGGAGGGCTTACAACCAGGGGTACCCCACGCAGGAAACTAGACATGTTAATCACATGATGATAACAAATTTCCTACACAGGTCAGCTTTAATTAGCATCCTGGTCACATTGCCTCTGCGTTAATTTGAATCAAGTCTTTCAAAGGTTAGACGGTGAGCATTAGGCAATTCTAGACACCTGGGTCCAAAGATATTTAAAAGAAGGTGGTGGTTTGGGGACAGCAGGAAGGAAGATTTGCCGCAGCCTGGTGAGCTTGTGTTGGGGGGTGTCAGGGAGACATTTGCTGAATGGCCAAGCCAGGCCATGCTGGGCAGGGCCTCATGTACCTCGATAAGGAACGTGGACTTTATTCCCAGAGCAAAAGAAACTCACGAAATTGGAGAGTGGTATCATCAGGTGTGTATTTCAGAAGAGAATGGTCAGCAGTGAGGAGGAGGCTGAGGAGGAGGAGTAGAGGCCAGTTAAAGGTGGCCAGAGAACTTGTCACTGAACTTGTCACTGACTGAGATAGGAACATGAAAGAGTGTGACAAAAGCCAGGTAAACGTTTGGGGGAGGATCATCACATGGAAAAGGAGGGAGCAAGGGGGGAGGGGCGGGTCAGGTTGGGTAGTGCCCCAGAGGTAACAGTGCAAACTTGGGAGTTTATTTGGAGTGAAATGCACGGAAGTCTCGAGATGGTTTAAACAGAAGAGGGACATGGCCAGACCTTTTCTTTTCTTTATTTCATTCTTTTTTTCTCCCCATGGTGCTGGTAATCAAACCCAGGGCTTGAACAAGCAGTGCCCCTGGCTTTGATTTTTATTTGAACCCTTGCTGCTATACAGAGGGACAAGGTGTTTTGAGAGCCCCCAGATAAGTTGGGGTTCTACCATGAGAGCAGTAGCAGCCCTGTCCCCTCAGGAAATGCAGGACATCTGGTCATGGATGCTGCTCATGTGCTTTTTTTTGGTACCCAGATTAAACTCAGGGGCACTTAACCACTGAGCCATACCCCCAGCCCCTTTTATATTTTATTTAAAGACAGGGTTTCACTGAATTGCTTAGGGCCTCGCTGAGGCTGGCTTTGAACTCACCATCCTCCTGCCTCCGCCTCCTGAGCTGCTGGGATTACAAGCTAGTGTATGCTTTTCATGGGAGACTTCTTGTGCCTGTCCACAATCTGAGGCCTGCTTGTCCAGCCCATGACCAGGGGTCCCTCATATGTGTTTATACTGGAAGATGTCCTGTGGGTCTTGCCTGAGCCAAGTTCATCTTATGCCTTCCTGATCTTTCCCTGGCACTGGGAGCCTCACCTGGTTTTTCAGATAAAGGCACAAGCCAACCCACTGCCACAGTAGGAAATAAGATCAAAGATTCATTACTTTCATATCCTGGTGCAGTGAATCGGGAGGGCAGTCCTCCGTCCCCAGGGGACGAGAGGCAGGAATGCAGAATCAGGCAGAGAGAGGCAACTGGCGGTGTGTCCAGGGGGGGACCATGTTGAGTCCATGGCAAATGGTGCAGTTAAAGGAATCGCAGGCCAGTGGAAGTGGGGATCCCCGTCTGCTTGGAGGAAAGGTCCTCCAAGTTCTTTCCCTGCCCTCCTCAGCACAGGCCATTTGGGTGTGTGGCTCTGCTTCTAAGGCCTGGGCAGTACCCTTTGCCGTTTCATTCCAGTTACATGGATGGGATGAGTCAAGTCATCATAATATCCATCCACTCAGCGAGTACTCATCAGGCACCTGCCGGGGGCCGGGACCACCCCAGGCAGGCCCCGGGGACTGCTGAGAACAAGAGCCCCTGCTCCTGGAACTCTTGGGGATGCTCTCTCCAGAGCCCAGTTCCCGCTCCATGGAGCTCCGGGACACTTGGGTGCCAGAGTAGACAGAAGCCTCCTTTCGTGGTACAGATGGGACGCTGAGGCCTGCAGGGTGTGGGCGGTGGCTTTTGGTTCCTCAAACTTGGTGAGCAGCTGACCACCTGTGGTGGCACTCTTCAGCCCTAAATGGCCCGTGTCCAGACCAGCCCAGAGCTCCAGGACTCATGACCTCTTGTCTCCACAGGGGGCTCCCGTCTAGCCCCTCCTCGGAACGTGATGCTGCTCTCCCAGAACTTCAGCGTGTACCTGACGTGGCTCCCTGGGCTTGGCAACCCCCAGAACGTGACCTATTTTGTGGCCTATCAAAGGTGAAGTGAATCTCCAGGCTGCTGGGTGGGAGACCAAGGAGGTGGGTAGGGGCCAGAGGGACTTCCCTGGGGTATCTGCTTGGGGTGTGGCTGATATTCAGTGGTTCTCTGGGTCCCCTGGGAGATAGCACGTGGCAGATGTTTGGGGAGGGGTTCTTGGTAAGGTCGCTGGTAGAAATGAGTTGAATAAACTGCGTGCAGGTGACAGGCGCATGGGATGGTGGTGGGTCTTGAGAAAAGTTGGAGCAAGCCTTGGGTGGAGCTTGAGGGCATGGGACAAGGCACTCCTGTACCCCTGGATGAGGTGCTTGGAGTTGTTCCAGCTGATTAGTGAGGGCAAACATAAGGCCCAGGGACGAGACTCCCTCCTGTAGCCTGCAAAATGCTGCATTGTTAGGAATCAGTTTCCCCTGGTGCTGGATAGGGCCTGGAGTGCTTCTCAATTTGGAAGCCCAGGCAGTCACCACCAACCCAGAAGAGCAGATGTGCCACCTTTGAACGTAGATGTAGATTATATGGAGTTTTTTGTTTGTTGTTTGAAGGTCTGGGGGTTGACCTCTGGCCTTATGCATGCTACTAGGCAAAGATCTATCACTGAGCTATGACCCCAGCACTTTTTAGTTTTTATTCTGAAAAGGGGTCTCTTTAAGTTGCCCAGCCTGGCTTTGAACTTGCAGTCCTCCTGCCTCAGCCTCCCTAGTCGCTGGAATTACAGGCATGTGCCACTGTGCCCTGCTCCTATAGAGTTCTTTTTTTTTTGAATACTGAGGATTGAACCCAGAGGTGCTTAACCACTGAGCCACATCCCTAGTTCTTTTTATGTGTTAGTTAGAGACAGGGTCTCGCCAAGTTGCTTAGGGCCTCAATAAGTTGCTGAGGCTGACTTTGAACTTGTGATCCTGCTGCCTCAGCCTCCTGAGCCACTGGAATTACAGGCATGCGCCACCGCACTTCACCATGTCCAGCCTATAGAGTTTTTAGTAGGACAGTGAGATGATAGAAGCGGATATGTGGGAAGATTAATCTGGAACTGGTGGTGATGGGGTGAAGCAGGAAGGAGAAGGAGCTATACATCCTCAGGTCCCAACCTAGGCCAGTGCTACAGGTGTTCGGGGGAATCTTTCTCTCCCAGGACCCTCAGGCAGCACTGTGTCCCCTCACTTTAGAGGTAATAAGATCCATCACAGAGAATTGCTTTCCCTGGCTAGTGATGGAGCCAGAGGAGGAACCCAACCCATCTGACCACAAAATATGTGCTCTTCCTGTTCCATCATATTCTCTGCCTCTGAGAATCCAGATATGAAAGACAGGACCCTGGCTTGGGCATGCACAGACTGCAGGAGAGCTGGCAAAAGCAAGAACCCGCCCAGGAGGCAGGAAGCTCTACCTTCCTGTGCTGCGCGGCAGGCAGCGTGTCAGCACCTAATTTTTTTTTTTCTTGTTTTGGTTTTTTCTGATACCAGGGATGGAACTCAGGGCCTTGTGCATACTAAGCAAATGATCTACCTCTGAGCTGCACCCCCAGCCCTGTGTCAGTACATTAAATGTATTTAATTTCACAGTAGCCCTGGGAGGACGGGTCCCATTCCCCACTTTACAGAGGAGGAGACTGGGGTGCTGCTGCAGGTGTGTCTCGCTCAAAATCACGCAGTGGGATGCAGTGTATTCTAGTGGGTTCCATCTAGAATAACTTTATTAAGGACTTGCAAGCCTCTCCTCTGGACTTTTGCAATATTTTCCTCCTTTTTTAATGCTTTTCTAAATACCTGTGAGGATTGCAAAATGCTTATACTCTAATTGTTGTTTTTCCCATTTGATAATTGGAATTATTTTATAAAAAGCTCTTTCCCCTCATTTAGTATTTGAAACACAGGTTTTCAAATAGGCAAGACAGAATAATTGGTTCCCTATCTTTCCCCAAAGGTGACTAATTAACTTCTTTTACAATTTTTATGAACTTCTTTTATTATTGTTGTTGTTTAGTTGTTGAGCATATCTAACCACGTCACTTCATTTATTGTATTTATTTATTTGGTACCAGGGGTTGAACCCAGGGGGAATTGAACCACTGAGCCACAAGACCACATCTCTTTTATTTTTTATGTTGAAACAGGGTCTTGTTAAGTTGCATAGGTCCTCACTATGCAAGCCAGCTGGGGCTGGCTTTGAACTCATGATCCTCCTGCCCAAGTTGCTGGGATGACAGGTGTGCACCACCATGCCCAGCTGATAATGTCAATTCAATTGTAATTTATTCTCTACTTTGAACCTTGAATTGTCCCATCTTTGGCCAATGCATTTCTTCGAGGTTATTTCTGAGTCTTTTTAACTTTAGCCAGGTACAGTGGCACATACCTGTAATCCCAACTATTCTGGAGGCTGAGGCAGGAGGATGGCAGACAGGTTCAAGGCCAACCCGGTAATTTAGCAAGACTCTGTCTAAAAAAAAAAACTGAGTCATTTTAACTTGACTCTGATAATCTTTGATATCTTTCTCACTGTTTGTTATGACAAGGTGTCCCAAGTTCATCTTGTGAGGTTCCTGACCTAAGATCTGCAGTGAGCCACTTCTCCATTTAATAGGAAAAGATTTTAAAGATCATAGCTTGGGGCTGGGATTGTGGTTCAGTGGTGGAGCGCTTGCTTAGCATGTGCAAGGCACTGGGTTCAATTCTCAGTGCTGCATATAAATAAATAAATAAATAAATAAATAATCCATCAACAACTAATAAAAATGTTTTTAAAAAAGATCATAGTCTGGGCTGGAAATGTGGCTCAAGCGGTAGCGAGCTCGCCTGGCATGCGCAGGGCGCTGGGTTCGATCCTCAGCACCACATACAAATAAAATAAAGATGTTGTGTCCACCGAAAACTAAAAAATAAATATTAAAAAATTCTCTCTCTCTCTCTCTCTCTCTCTCTCTCTAAAAAAAAATTTTTAAAAAAAGATCATAGTCTGTGTGCTGGCTATCTAGGTAGCTATGACTTCTAATCTTTTCAGGAACAGTGATATACATCATAGAGACACATTTGCCTCCCCTCTCCCTCTCTTTCTGCACTGGGGATTGAACCCAGCAGGGCTCTACCACAGAGCTATATCCCCAGCACGGTCTTGTTTTTATTTGGAGGCAGGGTCTCACTCTGCTGCCCATCTGGCCTTGAACTCTGCATCCTCCTGCTCCAGTCTCCCGAGGAGCTGGGGTTTCAGGTGTGAATCATCACGCCCAGCAGGACCGCACCTCTTAACACCGTCACCTTGGGGTTAAGTTCCAACCTGTGCACTTGGAAGGGACATCAACATTCAAACGTTAGCAGTGGCCCTGTCCAAGCCTCCCAGGGGCTCTCCATCACTCCCAGAGCAGACCCAGAGTCCTTAGCAAGACTGTGAGCGCCACCTGGCCTGCCCACCTCCCCTGCCACCCTGGTCTCTGGTCTGTCACGCCTGTCCCCCCTTGACCACTGGGATTTGACCCCACTGGCCTTCTTGCGGTTCTCTGACCAGGTCAGGCTCCCCCTTCCCATTGCGGGGCTTTAGTCCCTGCTGTTCCTTCCCCAGACCTTCAGCCGTGCCCTCCTTCTCCCTGTGGGGGGCTCCTGCTTCAGCGCCATCTTTCTGGCCTTTTCTGAGCCACCTTTTAGAGCAGTCACTCTGTGTTACCCTGGTTTATCACTGCACTTACCAGCTTCTGTTGGTATGATTATTGTCCTTTGTACCCCTCCCATCAGATGTAAGTCGCCAGGCACAGAACTTCATGTGTCATGCGTTACCAGTTCACCCGTGCCAGGAACAATGCCCAGTGTGCAGGTCTCTTCCCAGACCTCAGTGTTTTCAGGAGGTTGGAGTCATGGACCTGCACGTGGCCCTCTGAAATCCACGTAGCACTGAGCATGGCATACAGCAGGTGGTTTATAAGTGCCAAAATAAATAAACATATGGAAAACATTGACCAGTACTGGCCGTAGCTGCGGCTACAACAGCCCTGTGAGAGAATCGTGGCAGATGAGGCAACTGAGGCTTAGGGTCAGTGACCTGCCTAAGGTCCCAGAGCTAGTGAGAGGCAGGGCGAGGGTTCCAGCCACTCCCGTCTGCGCTCCCAAGCTGACCTCTCTTCCCCGTCTCAGCCAGGGGCTGCCTGGCTAGAAGAGGGCTGGTGGGTCATCTGGCGATGGATGGATGAGCAATCTCGTGCTTTCTAAATTCCCTAACCAGAGGCTGAGTCCGCGTCTCACCTGCTCCTGTCTCCCCCTCAGCTCTCCCACCCCCAGGAAGTGGCAAAAAGTAAAAAAGTGTGCAGGAACCCGGGCACTGGTGTGTCCCCTCATGTGCCTGAAGAAACAGGACCTGTACAACAAGTTCAAGGCTCGTGTGCAGGCGGCTTCTGCCCGTGTCCGGTCCCCTTGGGTGGAGTCTGAGTCCCTGGATTACCTTTCTGAAGGTAGGTCTGCAGGGGAGGGATGTGGGGACTTCACTCAGTGGCACGGCCATCCTGATGGTCTGTGTTAGCCACAGTTTTCCAGAGAAAGGAACCAATAGAATCTATGCAGTGATAGGAGAGATTGACTCCAACTGGCTCCTATCATCGCAAAGGCTGACAAGTCCCACAGTGGCAGCCTGCAGTGACTCAGTCCAAGAAACCAGAAGTCTCAGAAAGACAGACCAATCTGAGGCTGAAGACTCAAAAGCCTCCCTTCCCCAGCGGGTACAAGTCCCCCTTCAGCCACAGAAATGCACCTGCTCGAGAAGGGACAGCGAGAGCCAGAGAGGGAGTTTCCCCTTCTCTTCCCCTTTCCAGTTCCATTCTGGTCCCAGCCTACTGGGTGGGTCCTCCAGACGCAGTTGGCTGACCTGCCTGCCAATCTTCTTTGAAACACCCACACAGACACGCCCATAAGTATGCTTCACCAGTTCTATAGGCATCCCCCCCATCCAGTCAAGGTGACACTCTATATGAGTGTCACATCACCTGCCTGCCGCTTCCCTGAAGCAGGGGACACCTGACTGGGGCAGCCCTCCGTGGCCCTGGCTCTGAAGCAAGCCTTGGTGAGAAAGGGCCACCAGGGGCCAGCACAGCTGGGGCCATAGCTGGCAGCCTGGCTTCATGTAGGGAGTTAGGGGACCGGCAGGGGGCGCCAGAACAGCCGCTGCACCCCCTACAGCGCGTGCTTCACGGGCCCTCCCTTGGTGCTGTACTTACTCCCATTTTTTTTGTTGTTGGCTTCAACTTCTCTAAGAGATCATTTTTTTTTAAATCGATTTTTTTTCTGTACACTAGAAATTTGGGGGACAAAGAAGATAATTAGGTGGTGGTGGTGGGGAATCCCCCTACCATGCTTATCACCAGCAACCACAAGTGTTCACACTGGGTGAGGAGAGCACTTTTTTCCAATAGATTTTTATTTCTCATCCTCATAGCAAATCTATGAGGTTCATTTGCATGTTTTTTTAATATTCAAAGCAAGACTCAAAGAAGCTGGGTGCCTTGTCCGGATGCACTGCTAGTAATGGGTGGGTAGGATGGGAATCTGGATCTTGACCCTGGATAAGGTGGAGTGACAGGAGGGAGGTGCCCAGGGAGGGTGAACACTCGGACAGGAGCCCACGAAGCTTCGCTCTGTCCCCTGCCATCCAGGTTTTCCAAAATGAGAGCAGAATAGGGTTCCAAGCCAGGAGGATGGGGTTTGAATGGAGAATGGCAGGAAAGGTCAGTGGGGAAGGGAGAAGAGAGGATTGAGGTGTACTAGGCTGGGTGGGTGGTGGGTGGATAAAAGGAGGAACAGGTTTGGGTAAGAAGGAAGGATGCACAGGGTAGAGGAGGAGGGATGGGAAATGGGAAGGAAGGAAGGGAGTGAGGAGGGGAGGAAGGAGGCTGGATGAAGGCCAGGTAATGATTAAGAAAGAAGCCAGCAGAGAAGGGGAGGCGGGCATGAAGGCGGGTGTCAGTCAAAGTTCCCCAGAGGACCCCACCACTAGGGCAGCTGTAGGTGTGCTAGGAGACTTATGGTGAAGTGGTCCCCAGGAGATCCACGGAGTTCCTGAAAACTTTATATCCATAGCTGCCAGCTCAGACTCACAGGGACAGAGAAAGTCGGAAGTCACGATGGACTTTGCCATTTCTCCTGGGAGATGCAAACTGATAAAAACTGTTTGGGGGCCAGATACCTGCTGCCCTTAATGAAAAGGACGCGTGACTCAGAGGGCGGAGCCAGGAGCTCAGGACAGGGCTAGGAGCCAAGCAGAAGGGCTCCAGGCCTGGGCACCTCATGGAGTTCTTGTGGCTAGAATTCGAAGCCACTTTGGACCAATGACACATTCTATCTTTCCTGTCCCCCGTTTGAACGGGAAGGCCTGGGACTGCATCCTGGGCCTCTCCCATCATTCTGTCCTCAAGTTTCAGCAGCCCATAGAGAGGATTTGTGTCCCACTGATGGATCATACTGAGTCTCATCTGCATCTGGTTTCGATGCTGTCGATGAAATTTGGGGATTTGAACTGATGTTGTAATGAGATGAGAGCCTTGGGACGGGGTGAATGTGTTATGCATTTAAAAGGGACATGATTTGGGGAGGCTGAAGGAAAGACCTTGGTAGGCTGACTGGCCCTCCAAGGACGTTCTGGCCTCATACCCGGGATCTGCAGATGTGTTGGATGTGTGTACTCTGCGGCAAAAGGAATTTTGAGGTTATGGGTCTTGAACGAGTGAGATTATTCTGGATTGTCCAGATGGATCCACTATCATCCCAAAGCCCTTAAAGCAGAGAACTTTCTGCAGCTAAAGGCAGAAGTCACAGAGCAGCAGAGGAAGTCAGAGGGATTTGAAGGGTGAAGAGGGTTCAGTTGTGCCATTCCTGGTTTGGAGATGGGGGCAAGGTGAGAGGAAAGGCAGGTGCCTTTAGGAGCCGGGAGAGGCTCTCAGCTGACAAGCAGTGAGGTAACAGGGACCTCAGCTGGACAAGCTGAGTGACCCTCAAGTGAACTTGTCCCAAAGGGTCCATGTGTGAGACCCAGGGCAAAGGTGTGGTCATTTGTTATAGCAGCCAACAGGAAACTAATACGTGTGGGCAGGATTCTGAGACCCCAGTGGCATGTAAAGGGCACCCAGGTGGAAGAAACCATGAGTAAGGGCAGGTCTCCCGAGAGCTCAGCCAGGGTATTTCACCCCTCCAAGCCTCAGTGTCCCTTCTGTAGAAAGGGAACGTGAACCTTCCCTCCAGGGTCAGTGCGAGGCTGTCAGATGCATGGTGCATGGAGGTGCTTGGCAGGAGCTAGCACTGTTCCCCCTTCCCAGGGGGCTCTCGGGACTGGGTGAGGGCTCTGACAGGTCCTGCTGTTTCTTCCAGTGGAACCAGCCCCGCCCATCCTGGTGTTCACCCAGACCAAGAAGATCCTGAGGGTCAACGCCACCTACCAGCTGCCCCCCTGCATGCCCCTTGTGGACCTGATATACAAGGTGGAATTCTGGAAGGAGGGCACCACAAACAAGGTGGGCAGTCCCTCCCCCGCCCCCAGGCCAGGTTCCCGCTACCGCTCCACAGCCCAGTGTGCCTCAGGCTCCCGCTGCTCCCTGATCCCGGTGTGCTGACACCCCTGACTCCGGGGAGCCGGCCCCTCACCAGTGTAAGTGCCCTCGGCCTGTCCACAAGTCATGCCTCATCTTTTTTTTTTTTTCCCAATAAAATCTGATGAAAGTGTGATGGCTGCAGGAGGCTTACTTGTCAGGTCATTGCAGAAAGTACAGATAAGCTCTAAGAAACAATCCCAAAGAGCCCAGAGATAAATAACCCTGGATAACATACGTCCACAAATCACCCCTGGGTGTACGCCCAGCTTCAGACCTGACTTCAGTGCAGGCCTGGGAATATGTTTATTTATTTATGGCAAAGTTTGGCAAACTTCCTCTGCACAGGGTCGGGGTCTGTCCAGTGGGATCTGGCCCAGTGACTGAACTCTGCAGCCAGAGCTCAAACGCAGCCACAGACAAGGTGGAAATGAACGGGCCCCGATGGGTTGCTGCAACTGTTTCCAAAATCAGGTGGCAGGAAAGGTGGCACCCAGCGCCTGGTTTGCTGACCCCTGCTCTGGTTCACTCTTTCTTCCACAAAACCAGAACTCACCCCCGGCCCCGCCATCCTAGGGATGTAGCTCTGGGTCCAGCGAGGTTCCCGTCTTCCAGAAGCTCCCAAGAATGTCAAAACATCACACACCGCCCACACCTGTACGATTTTTATGAATCGATTTCAAAATTGAAAAGTACCTTGTGAATATTCTAGACCAGCGCTGTTCAAAAGAAATATAATGTGAGCCACATATGTCATTTTATAAAAAATATTTATTTTTTAGGTGGACACAATATCTTTATTTTTACATTTATGTGGTGCTGAGGATTGAACCCAGTGTCTCATGCATGCTAAGCGAGCTCTCTGAGCCACAACCCCAGCCCCCACATATGTCATTTTAAATATTCCACATTAATAAAATAAATAAACAGGATTAAATAAAAGGAAACAAGTGACTTTTTTTGTTTGCTTTGGGTGGTGCTGGGACGGAAGCCAGGCCCTCATGTGTGCCAGGCCAGTGCTCTACCACAGAGCCGCACCCCCCCACCCCCAAAAGACTTTAGTTTTACTGACAGATCTTATTTCATCTGATAGAATATTGTCATTTCAACATGAAATTAATACATAAAAATCATGGAGCTGTTTCACCTTTTTTATTCCCTAATTCTATGGAAGCGGGTGTTTTGTACTTGGGCCAGTTGCTTCAACGGCTTGGTCACCTCGTGTGGCCACCACCTACTTTACTGGACAGAGCGGCTGGAGACTTTTCTGAGCCTGTAACTGCTGACTGGCCTCACCCCCAAGAGGTTGGGAGGCTCAAGCGAAGAAGGCCTGAGGAATCTGCTTCTCAAAGTGGGACCCACTGGCCCTGGTGGGGTACACCCAGGAGTGACCCCAAAGGACAGGCTGCTTTGGAACTGCAGACATCCCTAATTTGACACTCAGCCAAAAAGAAACAGTGTTGGGAAGTACACCCCCAGACCTGGCCCTCAGTGTAGGAAAAGAAAAGAAGGTTCGGGATCCGCATCCTAACCCGCTTGCCAATGCTCCCCAGCCCGACCGTATGGAACGGGGTCCCCTCAGAAGGTCCACTCGTCTCTGTTTCTTTCTCCAAACAGACAGTATATCCAGCCACCCCACATGGCCAGACAGTCCAGGTGCCCCTACCGCCAGCCACCAGCGGACGCTACTGTCTCAGCGCCAGAACCATCTACACCTTCATTTCCCCTAAATACAGCAACTTCTCCACGCCCATCTGCTTCTTCCTGGAGGCCCCAGGTAGGTACAACGTGGTGCTGTCCAGGGGACTTTCCTCTGGGGCCTTGAGAGTTTCATGTTGTAGTGGTTAAAAGTCAGAATCTAGAGACAGACTGGCCCAGTTGAAAGTCCCAGCTCTGCCACACTCCCTGTGTGTCCTCGGGCCACTTACATAATCTCTCTGAGCCTTGGTTTCCACGTCTGTAGGATGGGGTTATTCTCATGAGGACTGAGTGGGAAGATGGACGGGAAGCACACTGATAGGGGAGCACCATTGCACGTCTGAGGGTAGATGTCATTTTTCCTGCCTAGGACCCATCTGGACAGTCCTGGTGTTGCCGTCACTTCTGCTGCTGCTGCTGGTGGTGGCCTCGGTGGGTATGATCTGGAAGAGTCTTCAGGGAAACCCCTGGTTTCGGCAGTCCAAGATGCCACAGGCCCTGGTATGGCAAATCTGGGGGTGTGCGGCAGGTGGGAAGGGAGGGGGACTGAGAGGCAGGAGGTGGGGCTGGAGTTTGAGTAGCTGGGAGAGGCTGTCGAGGTGGCCCAGACGGAAATGTGTCAGATCCTGTGTCTAAGTTTCCACCATTAGTGATGCATTCCTTTGGCACTGAATAAAATACCCATCTGTCCCTGAGGGAGAAGTGACTTTAGATCCTTTTAGTTAAGCCACTTTACTAAAGATTTTTTCGGGTGCAGAGAGCTGAGCCCTCAGGCCTGAGACTCTGGAACCGTGGCCAGAAGGGGTGGGGGAGACAGGAGTGCCCAAAGGGGGCGACTCAGCGGGCTCTCAGTGCTTAGTCCACAATTTAACCAAGGTCAAGACTTGCCCAGGCCGACCTTGGGGTACTAACCACTCCCTAAGGACCTGGCGGCCAGCGGGGACAGGGAGGAGCTGCAGGGGCCAGATGGGGTGCGCTGCTCAGACCAGGGCCTGGCTGTGGGCGAGGCCCAGGAGAAACTCGGGTGCGGTTAGGGACTTTAAGGATGGATTCTCAGTGTCCCCATATCAGCAGGGTGGCAAGGGAGTCTTTTCAAAGCCCCAACCTTCAGACCTGTGGGAAGTCCTGCTAACCACCAAATGCCTTGCCCCACGGCTCGGCCTGCCTGGACTCCAGCCCCTGCCCCCCTGCGGGTTTTCTCTGCCAGCACACCCATCAGGGAACAGGCACCCCCAGCAGCCCTTACGTCCCTCAGTGACATCCGAGGGTCTCATGGAGAAATACCCAGGTGCCTCCACCCTCAGAGGGGCCGCTCTGGGGTGCACGTGCCCTAGCTCCCTGGGTTCCTGGCAGGATCAAGGTCCAGATGCAGTTTCCTGCCAACAATGTAACAACTCGAGCCCTGCCCCCGTCTGTTTCTGGGGGGCCTCATCCTGTGGAAAGCCCTAATCACCTTCTCCTCTCTCCCCCTCCCCGTATCAGGACTTTTCTGGATGCAGACGCTCTGTGCTAACCTTCCAGTCCAGTGGACCGGAGTCCCTAGATGACTTATTCCTCTGTCCCCAAAAGGAACTCATCAGAAAGGTCAGGCCGGCCCCTCAGGTCAGGGCCTCAGACGCTCTGAAGGCAGGGTCAGAAGAGAAACTGACTGAGGACGAAGATGACAATGTCAGCTTCCAGCCCTACATTGAACACCCCACCTTCCTGGGTCAAGAGCTCCGGGTCTCAGGGCACTCTGAGGCAGATGGGTCCGGCGTGGACTCAGGAAGGCCCTGGACACTTGTGGTCCCTGGAGAAGGCTCCTCTGCTTGGGATTCTTCAGACGGGAGCTGGCCCAGCACCGTATATTCCTCACCCTGGGACGAGGCTGGGTCCTCCAGCTATTTGGCCAAGAAGCGGCCGGGTCAAGGGCTTAGCCGGGACCAGCATCCGGAGCTTCTTCCATACCCAGAATTCCCTGAGGACTTGGGCTCCCTGGAAGAGCCCCTGCAGGGTGACCTCTTCGGGTGGACCACCTGGGGCTCCTCCTCCCCAGGGAGGAATCTGCTCCCCGGGGAGCCCCAGGTTTCTCTTCGGACACTGACCTTCTGCTGGGACAGCAGCCCAGACGAGGAGGAAGAGGAGGGTGAGAGGGAGGCGGAGGTGGAGGGCCAGCTCAGTCCAGTGGACTGGAGCACCGACAGCTCGGGGGCCGGGGGCTGCCAGAGGACCGAGGTCAGGAGTGGGGTGCTGGGGCACTACATGGCCAGGTGAGCGGGCCCTGGTTTCCCCGCCAACCTCGCGCTGCAGCTTGGCTGCCCCACTGCCCTGGAACCCAGACACCAGAGTCCTGAGAGCCTAGCCTCCCTCCCTGGCTGAAGCAGCAGAGGGTCTCCCAGCACTTCGGGGGTCCCCTCCAGAGGCTGGCTGGCATCTGGGCTGAGTGGTAGGATGCCACCTTTCCTAGGAGGCACCAGCGTTAGGCCCAGCTGCAGGAGGGATGGAGACAGGGTGGGCCGTGATCAGAGGTCTGTTGGGTGTCAGGTCAGAGCATTGCCCTGGGTGACAGGCAGGGTCAGGTCACTGTGGATGTCAAGGGCTGACACCATCAAGGGATCATCTGGGAGGGAAAGGGATAGTCACACTGGAGGGACATCTGGTGGGCCAGGGTCTCCTGCCTTTCCCAGCCTGGAGCTCCCTCGTCCTGCAAGTCTCATCCTCCTGATTGGCTGATTGGGGAGTCCCCTAGAGTGGGCCCCTGATCAAGATCCAATTGGCTGAGGGAGCTGCAGGGAAGGAAAGGGAAGCTGTCCTTCAGAGCCTGATTTTCAGAGTCACACATTGCAGACTTTTTAATATCAGACAGATCTGGATTCGAATCCCTGCCCTGCTGTTTACCAGTTGGGTGGCTGCGTAAGTCCCCCTCATTATCTACCTCAGATTCTCCAGGGGCAGCCACCAACTAGGGGTGGTGAGGCTCAGGGGGATCTCTGATGTGTGTGGCATGGGGCCTGCCACATCACTGGTGCTGCCTCCATAGTGGCTGGCAGGCTCCTCCTTCTACACAGGCTCCAAGGAGACCCCAGACATCCTCATCCCAGCCACCAGGAATACCTGCCTTTTAGCCTGTGGCACCTCTGTGCTCCGCCCCCACACACACTTCCACCCTTGCTGGTCCTGCACGTCCAGGCCAGGGGACTGAGCTCACAGAAGCCAGAGTCCCGTCAAGGGCAGCCCCGGCCGCTCCTCTTCCCAGCAGTAGGAGCCCTGCTTCCCATGGCAGGAACCCCCGTGACCCGCCTTGCAGGGGCCCCAAGCAGGGCCTGGACTCCAGGACCCGTGATCCCTGTTTTGGACAGCACTTGGGATACTGTTGCCTGCTGTGGCTGTAAAGGGGTCCCAGGTTCCTGCTCTACTGGGAGCAGGTGGCTGTCCTTTCCAGGGAGGGGGATCGTCAATTCCCCTACCCCCACCAGGATGTGGCCAGGCAGAGCTGAGTGGCTACCCCCAGGATGGACATTTTTGAGTGTTTCCAGGCTGAGGATCTGGACAGCTGTGACTGGGCAGCCCAGGCCCTGCCACTGAACCTGCGAGGACCTCACTGGGAAGGAGGACCCTCCCGGGCAGCGTACCCAGGGAGCAGCATTGTGCTGGAGCAGCTGAGGACACAGTGGTGCTCAGGACTCGCAGTCTGCTGCCAGGTGTTCTCCTGTCCCATTTCCGGGAAGCTGAGGTCCCGAGTGGCAAAGGCACTTGCCCAAGGTCACCCAGTAGCATTTCTCTGGTGACTTACACCATGTACTCCCAGTGGTGAAATCCATGGTCTCTGCCCAGCCAAGCCAACCCTTGACCCCTTGGCCATCTCAACAAGATATAGAGGTCTCTGCCAGAATTTCCAAAGGCCAGTAAGCTGGCAGGAGGCCCTCACCAGCGTCCACACGCACACACACACGGGCACACACACATCTCCCTGGGAATTTGACCTTCAGTGAGACTTATCCACATGATTGTAACCATGGCTCCGGGAAGGCCATGGCTAAGGGTCAGGTCCTGGAGACCCCCGACCCAAGACTGAGGTTCTATCTGGGCCTGCATTGAGATGCTTCATGAAGGTAATTTCAGAAAACTCGAGGTTGTCATGGCTACAGTGTTATCTCAGGCTTGAACAAAATACCCTTTTGATTTCTATTCTTTAATCTTGATGTTTTTAAAAGGGTTTTTCCCCCCCGATGTTGAATTTCTGGGGTTTTTCATGACTCTAAATTCCAACTCCTTTCCAGTCATTAACAACAACGACAAAAAACTCGGGAGGTGCAGGGGGATCGCCTCTGACATGAGGAAAGGGCACACTACGCAGGAAAGTGTGTGTGTGTGTGTGTGTGTGCGCGTGCGCGCACGCGTGTGAGCATCTGAGGGTTTACAAGGTTCTCTCACCTACACAGCAGCTGCGGGTGGGTGGCCCCCCCCTTGAAGGGCATCGGGGAAATGTGTGTCACCTCAGGTTAAAGTGTTATATTGTTCTTTTGAGTGCTGAGAAGATTATATATTATCTTGATATATTTATATTTATGTCTAATTTTATTCTTTGTATTGTATTTAAATAATACCCTAATGGTCTATGACCCCAAACTGTTTAAATAAAGAGCTGTATTTTTATAGAGAAAAACGTATAATGGAATGGAAATGGGGGTGCTCTATCTTTCCTCACCTCTCAACACTACAGGGGTCTTGGGTTGGGTCACGGGAGCAGACCTGAGACCTGGGTACAGACAGCACATGATTCCATGTGACCCCAGGGAAGTGGAGGAACGAGGTGGGGAGGGGAGGCTGCCACTCGGGTGTGCAATCACACAGGTCCCTCGGTGGGCACCTGGGGCTCCCCATCCTTGGGGAAGTCGGTGTCAGGCCCTCTTGCCATTCCTTGCTCTGCTGGGACAGGAGCTGGGGGATTGGTCACGGGTGCTGCGTGGAGGATTCCCTGTCCCCCACCCCACCTGGGCAGAGCAGCGGGGTCTGGCAGTCTGGATTGTCATGCTGCTGAGGAAGGCACATGTCCCAGGGCGGGGTAGGGGTCTCTGACAGCCTCTGCCGCAGTGAGGCCGAAGCTGTGCTCCCCGCCCCCACCCGCAGCTCAGCCAGTGGCAACTGTGGCCCGAGGGAGGACACGGAACAGCCTCTGCGTGGCCGTGCACACCCACTCATTCCACCTGCTCTCTGTTGGAAAGGGTCCTCCCACCTCCAGTAACTCTCCCAGAGTCACACTGTCCATGTCCAACATTGTGCCTGCCTTTGTCACCATTCACTGGTGGCAGGGTGGGCACCAGACCTAAGCTGAGCTGACCCAACAAGTCCCTGGCCCTGGGATTCCGAGTCTTCCTGGCTGGCTGGGCCTGAAACGTCACCTTCCTGCCTGCCATGGCCACGGCTTGCACTCAGGAACCGGAAGGCCCAGTCTGCAGAGGAGACAAGAACGAGGCCATCACATGAGCTTCCAGCATGATCAGTGGCAGACCGTGGGGCCGGTCTATCCCTGAGGTCCAAGGAGCCTTGGCCGTGGTGCCCCTGCATCCTCATTTTAAGCCAGGGCCTTGTCACCCATAACCAAATGTCCTCACTGAGTCACAAACAGTCAGTAAACATCCCAACTTGTGGCCAGCTTCAGGTACCTGCCTCCTTGATCGAATGTACCGTGAAGGCTTTCCAGAAAAGCAGGCAGAGCTTCCTCTGCAGGTGACCCCAACCACCTCCCACCTGGTGCCCTCCTCTGCCAAGTCTCTTTTCAGGCATCTCTTGGCCTGAGTGCTGCCACTTTCTGGACAGCGGTGGGATGGCTTGAGTGTTCTAAGGCGGTGCTCAGGAACCTGGAGTGGGCGGGGGAGCCAATGTTATCTCCAGGGACCTCCATTAGGGGAGGGATTATTTTCCACCTGGCACAACACCTGGCAAAGGGTGGAATCTTGGCATTGGACAAATGAACGAAAGAATAAATGAGCAATTTGATGCGTGAGTGGGGGTCAATAGGCAGCTACACATATGGAGTAGAGTCCTGCCTCCCCCCGCATCTGCTCTAAGTGGGCGACAAACCAGGACCTTAGTCCCCTGACTGTGACTTACCCTTCCTAACTTCCTGTTGCCCATGTGATCTAGGACTTGATTATGCTGCTTCAGTGACCGAGTCGTCCATGAGCTCGTTCCTATGGGCACAAAGTGGGGCTAATGTCATGAAGGTTAAAGGTTAAAGCTTAAAAAGAAAAACAAACCATAAGTTCTGTCTATATCCGAATGACTGAGTCAGTTCCCTGAGTCTATTACTCAAAAGATACTGGTCGGCGCCAGGACCCACCCAGCCCAAGGGACCCCGCCCCTCGGGCTGCGGTGATGCAGGACAGGGAGGAGCAGTGGCTTCACAAGAGCCCCTCCTTTCCCTTCCCCCTTACTGCCTCTTTAGGTGGGTTAGGAGGAGAAGGTGGGGGTCCCCAGGAACCCTGTCCCCAGGGGCAAAGCCATCAGCAGGAGTTCTAGGGGGGTCTCTGGGTATGGGGGGCCTCTGGAATGCAGACAGTTCCACCCACTCTAAGCCTCGGTGTCTCTGGACACTCGATGGGCCAACTGCAAAGCCAGATTTCAAAAGGGTCTTGGAGCCCCTCCCCCGCTTAGCCACAGGCCCTTTCATGGACCTTCCTCCTCTAAACAACCCTAACTCCTGGGGGGCTCAGCTGCAGGTGCAGCCGGCACTTGCCATTCCTGGAATTTGGCCTCAGAAACTACTGCCAACCTGAGCGTCTGAGTCAACGTGTGACACTGTCCTCGTCGCCACCTCCCTCCATCCCTACACTCACACACCCAGGTGACTTGGCAAAGCCTCACTTTGACCTCAGTTTCTCATTTTGTAAACAGAGGCCACCTGCCACAGGAGACCTCTTCATTAACTGTCCAGAGAGGGCAACACAGCAGCACTGAGCAGTGGACACCATGACTTCCATTTCGTAGACAGGAAAGCTGAGGGCACAGGGTAAGGGACCCGCACACAAGGGACAGGGGCAGAGCTAGGACTTGGACCCAGTCTGTCCGCCCAAAGCTCATTTCCTTCTGCTTCCCCCGGCTCCCGGGAGACGTCCTGAGCTCTCCCCCCAATCCTGGCATGAGACGCAGGATGTTCGTATGTTCTTAATGTATTTGTGATGGAGCGCGTCCTCAGAAGCATCTAATGAGCAGCTGGGAGGCCAAACGGCTCCGGGAGAGCTGAAATTAGAAGCAGCATCAATAAATGCTCAGACGAATTTGTGGTGTCAGTGACAAGAGTCATGAAAGGAACTCTGGGATGTCGAGGAGATTTCCAACCCCAGAGTGGGAGAGAAGCAGAGCTCATTCACTCGAGTTCCCAGAGCCCGTGGAGGACTTCTAGACCACCAGCCTTTACACACAGAGAAACCGAGGCCTACAGAGGAGACAGGACCCCTCCACGGAATCAGAGGGATCATCCCCAGGATCCTAATCTGGGACATCTAGGTCAATGCCCCTGATTGACCCAGCTCATGCTTTGTGGTCAGATGTCCTTTGGGCCAGACTCCAAAGTATCTGATTCTCTAAGAGGCAGGGGGGAGGGAGGAGCCAAACCCTTATTCTTTGCTCCTTCTGTCCAGAGTGGTTGGGGACCCCTCCAGGATCTCCCCTGCTGAGTTGGTTGCCCAAGGCAGCACTCTCATCTCCCCCACAGACTTCAGGTAAACACCCGCTGCCTTTTTTTTGGGGGGGGGCCAGGAATTGAACTCAGGGACCCTCAACCACTGAGCCCCATCCCCAGCCCTATTTTGTATTTTATTTAGAGACAGGGTCTCACTGAGTTGCTTAGGGCTTCACCATTGCTGAGGCTGGTTTTGAACTTGTGAACCTCCCGTCTCAGCCTCCTGAGCCCCTAGGATTGCAGGTGTGCGCCACTGCACCTGGTCACCTGCTGCCTTTTGAGGTTCTTGCTTCTGCATAAAAGCTTCTGGCATCCCTGGGTGTTGGGAGAAGGGACGGGAGCAGGTCACAGATCTGAGTAACTATCACTTCAGGATGTGCTTTTCCTACAGCTCCAGGGTGTTTCAGGTTGTGTTAAAGCCCTGGCCAGTGCCCCCACCCCAGCACACTCAGTCCATCAGCAAACGTGAGGAGAGTCTGCTCTGTGCCCACCCATGCCAGACACTGCCACACCAAGGAGAGCAAGGTAGAAGCCTTGTCCCCACTGCAACATGGGGACATGGAGGACACAGTGGACAGCACGTGGGATAGTCATGCTGCTTTCCACTTGACAATATTTGGAGAATGTTTACCAGGCCACGCATTATATTTCTCCAACATTATTCTGAAGGCTGAATTTGTCTCACTTTGGGTGAACACACTGTTATCCATTCAACCACAACCCTGCTGTTGAACACGGCGGCTGAGCCCACCACCACCACCACACTGTGAGAAACCAATCCGGCTGTTCTCAAGTTCTTCAACCATCCAATAACTGTACACGGTCACCACTACGGGACGGCCAGTGGGCTGCAATTTGCACCCCAGGCAGCCAACTTGGTCCAGAACTGGCTCCTATCTCCATGGTCCCTTCCTGGCATTTTGTAACCTGTTCCTCTGGTGACAGCCTTCCCGCTCCATCTCGCTCCTAAAGTTATCAAACACTGTTTCCATCCTGGTCCATCCAGGTGCACGGAAACCTCTCAAGTCTTTCCAAGCAACGGACTTTACTAAGGAGTTGGTTACCAGCTGATGGGAAAACTGGAGACCCAGGCAGGACCGAGAAGAAGTCAGAAGCTGCTCTATCCTGCCAGCCACAGGGTTAGATGCTGGGGGCAGCTACCTGAGCTCAAACCTGAGAGGACCAGGAAGAAGTGGAGCTGCCTGACGAGATGGGCTCCCCAGGGAGAGCTGGTGCCCCAGAGGAGACAAAGCCGAGAAATACCCTGACTTCTCCACTCTTCCAACCTGCGTGGCTCAGTCTATCAGAAAGCAGCTGACAAAGGAGCCTAGGAAATGTAGTTTTCTCCCATAACGGGAAATGATTGGCACAGGCCCTACCTTAAGTCCCCCAAAGCGCAGCTTAGATTTGATTGCTTGTTCAAACAAACTTTAGCAAAAGTTCAGAGCTGATAGCAAACACAGGAAAGAAAACTGAAACAGAGATCCCTGGATATCACCATCCATCAGGCCCAAAAGCCAAGGCCCAGGGCTGGGGTGCAGCTCAGGGGTAGAGCATTACCTGGGCCTGGCTTAGATCCCCAGCACCACATACAAAAATAAAATAAAGCCAAGCCCTCCCTGGACCCCCTGCGGGCCAATCTCCTGCTATAGTCCTGACATGTGCAACTGGGGCCCAGCAAACCCCCCAGGGGCAGGTCCTTCTCTTGCCCCTTCTCCTTCTCTGGGGCCCAGCAAGAAGGGGAAAATCCTTTCCCAGGCACCTTCCTCACTAGGAAGTTCTCGTTCATTTCTGTAGATACTGCTCTTCATGGCAGAATGACAGCTTGGGAGCAGTCTCTATCTTCACTGCCCCAAACCAGAGGCCCATTCCTGCATTTCCCCCTCTCTCCAGCACAGCACAAAGAACCCCTGGGGTTTGAGATCCGTTTTTCTCTAACTTTTTGCAGAGACCAGCCCCAAAGCCTCAAGGTAAATGGCTGAGCTTCTCGCCCAGCATCCTTGCCAGGGGGAAAGCCATTCCCAAGCCCCCTGTCCAGCCTGGGGGTCAAGATATGGGCACAAGGACAGGCATTAGACACCCATATCTTCACCTGCCAGAATGAAGCCAAGAAGCCAGGCTTCTCCTTTGCTGCAAGAAACATTCTGGATTTTTTTCTTCTGTTTTGCCCCGTTATTTTCCTCAGGGTAGATCCCCTAGGAATAGAATTGCTGGGGCAAGAGATACCCACATGGTGTGAGATTTGATTCGTCGCCAGTTGTTCTCTGATCAGACTGTACATTGTGGGTCATTCTTGCCCTTTCTGCCTCTTAGCTCCCTAATCAACCACTCCGGAGTCTTGGGATGAATCAGCTACCCAGACCAGATAAACAAGCCGGCCGGCCTGGTAGCTGCTCTCTGCAACTAGGAAGGGAACTCCCTTGGATCCCACCCAGGATCTGGAATTCCAGAGCACAGGGCCAGGCACCTTTGTACCCCTGCCCCCACTGGCCCAGGTCCTCCCCTGCCTCCTGACCCCTCCCCTCCCCTCCTTCCCCGCCCTGTGCCGGGTGGAGCCAGCTGCCCGGGCACCCAGGCTTCACAGCCTGCCCTCTGTGCAGGGCCCGGAGTGGGGGCCCAAAGGGGTCCCAAGCAGGGCTGATGAGGACGCTCCTGACCATCCTGGTGGTGGGATCCCTGGCCGGTGAGTGCCCCTGCTCTGGGTGAGGGCTGGCCCACCTCGGGGCCAGTGCGCGGGCTGTCTCCCTGCACCCACCCTGCAGTGCCATCCAGGCTGCTTTCAGTTTCTCCCCCGCTTGGGCTTGACTGGGTGCCGGCTTTTCCTGGAGACGCGGATGGCCAGCTCAGGTGGCTGGGGAGGATGAGAGGCTGCCCCAGCGCCCGGGTTCTCCCAGGGACTCAACTGACCTGTAGGTCCAGGGGCATGTGGCCAGCTGTCTCAACCTGGGTGCTGGATCCCCTCATCCCAGCGGGTAGGGGACTGGCCCGGGGAGCAGACCTCTTGCCCTCCCTCGGGGGGGGGGTTCCGGCAGAGTTGGCTTCTTTCCCTCTGCTGGCCCAAGAGGGGAGGAGGGACACCGTGGCCTCTCTCCATGTCCCTGTGGGGCCTCTTCTGGCCCCTCTGGCCGGACCTGAAAGAGCATGTCCTCCCAGAGTGGCCAGGTGAGCTGCACCGCTGTCGAGTCCAAGGTCCCAGTGGGATTCATCATCGTGGAGAACTTGACCTGAGACCTCAGGTTGCCCACTCTCCTGAGCTGAGTGTCGGGGATCTCTGTCAAGAAGTGAGAGCACAGTCCTGATGGAAGAGAGGGACGTGTGACTTCTGCAGGCCCTCCTGGCTTCAGTGCAGGATGAGGCCCGTGAAGGGACAGTCCCTGGCCAGTGCTGACTGGTTCCTTTACTGCCTCCAGTCTGTGCTGCCCTGGCCTCAGCGGGGCATTCCCCACACTCTGAGTCTCTGATGGACGAGGGAGACTTCCTGCAGCCCCAGAGGCTCCAAGACATGTCCCTCAGGCCCCCTCCCATTCTGGCTGGAAGTCCTAGAGCTCGTGGCCCTTTAAGATGGGGACCCACAGGAAACAGCCCTGAGTAGATGGTGAAGGGTCAGTAGCATCCTCTGCAGACCTGGCCCCTCGCCCTGGTGCGCCTAGCTGGTTCCTGAGCATGTGGGATCGTTGTTTGTGTAGTTTCTGAGCTTCCCCACCGGTTGACATATGGTTTTTCCACACAAATGTGAAAACTTGCTTTTTGTAAAGTCGGCCAGACAGTCGCTCCACACAGCGTATGTCTCCCGGCGTTCAGAATGTCCACTTCCAACCAGGAAGTGCAGAAATGACCCCGGCCGGGGAGGGCATGATGGATTTGGGGATGAAAAGGAGCGAGAGGTTGGGAGGAGAGGGAAGGCCTCATTAGTCCCTGATACCCCCTTAGAGAGGGGGCCGGCCACGCCCCCCACCCCTTCAGGAAGCCAGCTTCAGTTTCCTCTGGGCACAGTGACGCCCACCTGTAATCCCAGTGACTCAGGAGGCTAAGTCAGGAGGATCACAAGTTTTCAAGGCCAGCCTCAGCGATTCAGCAAGGCTCTAAGTGACTTAGCGAGATCCTGTCTCAAAATAAAAAATAAATAAATTAAAAGGCCTGGGGATGGAGTTCAGTGGTAAAGCACCCTGGGTTCAGTTCCCAGCACACACATCAAAAAGTGGTGGCCATCCCCACTCCACCCAGGACCCTTTTCCAGCTTCAGCCACCAGCCTCCCTAGCACAGGGAGCCTGCACAGGACACTGTCCCCAACCAGCAAGCTTTCCAGTGCAGCTTCTAACCCAGCACTGGGGGAGGCCAAGCCCACCCCAGACTGACTGTGGCTTCCTCTCAAATCTCAGCCTCTCTCTCCTGCCCTTGACCCCACCAGTGGCCACTGGACTCCCTTCCATGACTTTAGACCGAGCCCTGAGTCTAAGACCCCTCCCTGCAAACACCATTTCTGCCCAGACTGGGATCCAAGCCCAGGACACGAGCCACATCTGGGGCTCAGTGGCACAGCCATCACCTTGGGTGGGGGCAATAAGACCCCCTGTGCTACCCCTAAAGCCCCATTCTGGGGACTCTGGGAAGCTCCCAGACAAAGATGTCCACAGCTGCTGGGCCAGGTAGACCCAGATTCAGAGAGGGTGGTGGCCTTCCACGTAGGCAGGGGATGTGCCCCAGGATGGGACTGCCCTCATACGCTTCCCATCTCCCCAAGGACCTCCCAACCCTGGACTCCTCTTGCAGAAATACTGTTTATAACTTGGGAATAAATAACTATCCACCCCTTCGTGCCCTGGGCCTGCTGGTGGCCATGGTCATGTCCAGAGGAAGGGAGGGGCATGGCCATCAAAGAGGCCTTGGCACAGCTGGGTCTGCACCTGGGTATTTCCCACCCTGCCAGACAGGTCCTTCTGAGCATGCTCAGAGCCAGCATCCAACTCTGGCCACTTTCTTGTCCTTCTTCCCCTCCACAGGCTGCGGGGGGTTCTGCAAGTCAAGGGCTCTTCAGTTCCGGTGAAATGCCGAGGCAGCAGCCCCTCCCCAGCCCCCTTCTAGGGGTCCAGGCCTCAGATCTCCTTTCCATGTCCGAAGCAGCAGTTGACGGGCTGGGAGACCAGAGTTCTCAGACAGCCCCCTCCATCCTGGGTGCAGGGAACGCCTTTGGGCGAGCTTTCTGGGGCATTTTAGCTGGCACTCTCTATAATAAGTGAAGACACCCACCTCAGGTGGCATTAAAAAGTGAGTAGTCGGCCCAGTGGAGCACACCTGTAATCCCAGCCACTCGGGAGGCTGAGGCAGGAGGATCGTGAGTTCACAGCCAGCACTTAGCAACCTGTGTCTAATAAAATACAAAAAGGGGCTGGGAATGTGGCTCAGTGGTTAAGCACCCCTGAGTTCAGTTCCTGGTACCAAAAACAAAGTGAGCGAACAAGAGACAGCAAAAAGTGGGACTAGGGTAAGAAACAGGACCCCTCGGGTGCTGCTGGGGGTAGGAAAGTGCAGCCACTTTGGCAAACAGTTTGCCGATTCTTCACAAAGTTAAATGTAAGGGTTGGGGCTGTAGCTCAGTGATAGAGCACTGGCCTGTCCTGAGCCCCTGGGTTCCATACCAAGCATAGAGTGACCCGGCAATCCCACCCTAAATATCCACCCACGGCAACTGCAAACGTATCCACTTAAATTTATTTGCACAAATGTTCGCAGCAGCATTACTCAAAATAGCCCCAAACTGGAAATAATTCAGATGTCAATGGACTGATGAATGGATACACAAAACGTGGTCTGTCCTTACCATGGACTATTACACAGGGAATAGAGGGATGGGGACTGGCCACTATGGGGGTGACGGAAGTGTTCTGGAATCAGGTAGTAGTGAGGTTGCACAGCGGGTGAGTCTTCCCAGTAGTCACTGGGTGAACCCGATGCCATGTGAATTACAGCCCAGTGGGAAGGAAGAGGGTGGCTGAGCGCAGAGGCGGTGGGGTAACAGGCTGCTGCGCTGGAGGGCTGGGGGCCCACCTGCTTACCCTGCTCCCACCTCCCGCAGCTCGAATTGCTGAGGATGCCTCTGATCTTCTTCAACACGTGAAATTCCAGTCCAACAACTTTGAAAACATCCTGACGTGGGACGGCGGGACAGACAGCACCCCTGGCACCGTCTACAGCGTGGAATATAAGAAGTAGGCTTCCTGACCACACCCACCTCCTGTGACTCTGCAGCCAGCCCTCCCAGAATGTCCCCCACTCTACACGTCCCTGGGCCCCCACTGAGCTGCTGCCCCCAGCCTTGCTGGACAACTCTTGCATTCCTTCTGCAGAGGGAAGGTTCAATCAGGACTGATACCACAGGGCTGGCGGCCGCCGAGCAGGGCTGCAGGGCCATCTCCCACCTGTGCGACCTCGGTCCGCTGGGGAACCCCACCAAGCCTCAGTTCCCCATCTGTAGAGAGAGGACAGTGAGAGTCCCTTCCTCCTAGGTTGTCAGGTAGATTAGGTAAGACGAAGTCAACCTGCGCCTGACGTAATGAGGTCCTGGAGATTGTTTTTTGACTTTTGGCAAAACAAGGTCAACAGGAAGTCTGTTCCCACCCCACTCCAGCCTGTGCCCCCCGTTTAGTTCTTCTCTCCACCCAGGCAGGGGAGGAGGGTTGACATGGGCTCCAGGTCCACAAACCTGGGGTCCATTTCTGGTCCTGCCACTTCTTCCTGTGGCCTGTCATCTCCTCTCTGAACCTCAGATCCCTTGTCTGTCAAATGGGGATAACAGGCTTCGCCCACCGGGTCTCGGGGTAGTGAGATCAGAACGTAGACTAGACTAGCTGGGTTCAAGTCCAGGCCGTCACGGGCACGCGGGGTGCATTTTCCTCCTTTGAACCTCGGCTTCCTTGTGTACACAGCCCAGGGGGGTCACCATGAGAACCAAGAGCATCCACATAAAGGGCCTGAGATAGGAGATACCGCTATCATTATTAAAACGCCACAGGCCTGGCACCTAGGCCTCATTAATGGTGTGCCCGGCCCCTCCCTCCTGCCCAGGTACGGGGAGATCGCATGGCTGGCAAAGGCAGGCTGCCAGAGGATCACACGGAAATCCTGCAACCTGACCATGGAGACGGGCAACCACACTGAGTTCTACTATGCCAGGGTCACGGCCATCAGCCCTGGAGGCCGGTCGGCCACCAAGATGACCGACCGGTTCAGCTCTCTGCCACACAGTGAGTGGGAGTCCCTGCTTGGGCCAGGGGCAGTGAAGCGCCTGGGAGGCTCCTTCCCTCTAAGTGGGCAGAGGGCCAGGAGGGGTCTGCACCAGGGCCAGTCAGGGAAGGTGCCCCCCCACCAAAGCACATCCCCAGGGGGCCTGTTCCTCCCCCCCCCACACACAGCCCCCAGTTCACACCACCCTCCTCTGCAGCCAGGGAAGTCAACTTTCCTGCCCTCCCCCTGCTCTCCTATCCCCAGGGCTCCTCCCAGACCCTTGTCAATACACAAATCCCACCTTCCCCTCCCCTGCTGAAAACTCTCCAGCAAATTCTCATGATTCTTAAAATAAGACCCAGCCCTTTGCTGTGAGCTCCGAGGCACGGTCTATCCCAGCAGCTCTGTCTACTGATCCAGTCTGGCCTCTGGAAATCCCTCACTCATTGGTGGCTCTTCCCAGTCCTTACTGGGGCTCAGTTCAGCCCTAAGCGAGCGTCCCCACTCCTAGCCCTGACTACTTGATCTCAGCGGGTGGCCACCTGTTACCCTCCCTCCCAACCCAATCTGTCCTCAGTGCCTGCAGGACCCTTATCCACAGATCAAACCAAATGCAGGTGAAAAATATTTGGAACAAAACTTCATCTGTACTTGAACGAGGACTCGCTTTTTTTTTTTGTCATTGTTCCCCAAACGATAAATTTATTCCTAGAAGGGAATGGATGTGGTGTCCCAGCGTCGATCCCAGTGGACACCGGGGGACCCCTGTCCACTGCACTTTGTCCTCATAGCTCATATCATAGTGGGCAGCTATCATGTTTGCTTACATGTACAGCATCAGCCTGGCTCATTAACATGTGAGTTCCAAAAATGGCCTCAGTGATCCTCTACGGGATCCTCGTGTTCCCAGACCTTAGCAGAGAGCTCAGCAGAGAGAAGAGGCTCCACCCAGAAGGGTCGAGTAAATGAATGCGCACCAGCTGCCCGACTCCCACACATTCACCAGCTCCCCTTACAGCCACACTTGACTTTTTAAGAAAACAAAAAATAAAATTAAGTCAGTTACTGATTTTCTTCCTGGCTTGTTTACTTCCAGAAATATAGAAATATGCAAAATATAGAAAAGTCCGTGATAATGTTCTGGAAAACACAGAAATATTCAAAGAAAAATAAAAATCACCCACCCCAACAAGCAATCACTAGCACCTGGGTCTATTTTTTTTTTTAATCTAGCATTGTTTTCTTGTTTTTGAGCTTCTTCTCCCTCTGTATGATGGTATCATAAACTTTTGCCCACATTATTAAATGTGTTTCCACAATGTGATATTTCATAACTGCAAAAGGGCCCATTCTTGGGAGGCACTCTAATTTATTTATCTAATTCCCTTTATGAGGATATTCTGCTCGGTTTTTCAATTTTACAAACAAGCGTCCAAATGAGCATCCTTCTTCTGCCTCAGACACTAATGCCAATTCAAATGTTCTGAATTTCAGAGGTCAATGGACCCTTGAGGGATTTCTATGAGCTAGATTCAGGGTGAGTAGGGTGCATGAATCCCTGAAATCTTGCATGAATGCAAGATTTTTGTCGAGGTACATTTTGGGGGAGAGAAGATTCATATTCTCCAAGGGTCTGTATTCATTTAGTTACTTGGAAAATTCCATCTTGAGAGAGACTGAAGTCTTGGGCCTGGCCTTGGCTCTAATGGGTGACCTCAGCCCCCCCTGGTGTTATTTAGGACATGTGGCTAATCACCATGTGGACATACCCAGAGCTGTCATTGCCTACAGACCTGGGGTCCTGTGTCCCAGGAAGACTCAAGGTGGGGGGGAGGAGCTGGGACACCTGGGAGCAGGATCCAGGCTTGTCCAACCCCAGGGACGGTGACCCTCATCCTTGGTTCCTCCCGTCCACCTGGACATCCCTTTGTCAGCCCTACACCTGGCCGCCAGGCGAGTGCAGGATTGCTTTTCACGCAGGTTTAGCTGATGCATTTGGAAACATCCTGGGCTCTGCGTGGGGTGGGTGGGAGAACCTGTCATTTCCCACCATCCATATTGACATATTGACACTAATGCCAATTCTGACTTTTTCTTCTTTTTTCTCCCCAGCTACCATCAAACCACCTGACGTGACCTGTATCCCCAAAGTGAGATCCATTCAGATGATTATCCATCCCACCCCCACGCCCATCCGTGCAGGAGATGGCCACCAGCAAACCCTGGAGGAGATGTTCCAAGACCTGTTCTACCGTGTGGAGCTCCACGTCAACCACACCTACAAAATGGTAAACATAGGTTGCATCCTGGTCCTTCCTCACCTGGGAAATGCCTTCCTTCTCGGTTAGATCTGTGCTGCTCTAAACAGAAAGAGAATATGTTGTATAAATAGAATTCCCCAAACATGTCCCTTGTGGGGTGAAGGGGGGCCTTGAATCCTAAGCACAACCTCCCTCTTGTAGACTCACGTACACAGTAACATGTTGAAGGCTCTGGCAAGTCCTGCAGAGGCAGAGATTCCCATTTCTATTTGCTTAATTCACCTTTCCTCAGATTTATTTGACCACAAAACTTGTTTTTGTGCCAGATGTGGTGGCACGTGCCTGCAATCCCAGTGGCTCAGGAGGCTGAGGCAGGAGGCTCATGAGTTCAAAGACAGCCTCAGCAACAGCGAGGCGCTTAGCAACTCAGTGAGACCCTGTCTCTAAATAAAATACAAAGTAGGGCTGGGGATGTGGCTCAGGAGTTCAATTCCTGGTGTCCCCCCCCAAAAAAAACCCCTTGATTTGCATAATATAGATTTTGTTTGATGTCTGATACTTTGTAACGTCCTAGAGAACAGCCAATTAACATCCTCTGGTGTTAACTTTCAAAAATGCTGGAGTCAGTTTCTACTGCTGTATTTCCTTAAACTGGTTCTCCACTCCATACAATTTCAGGAACTATATTCAGGGAGTGTCCTAAGATCAGTAATAATGAAATGTGAAAGGCAAGTGCATAAACTGCCAAATGGTATATGCAAATTATTTCCTTTTTTTCTTTTTTTGGAAAAGATGTGGTATTTCCCCCCAGCATGTGCCATGAACCCATAATCCAGCTGAATGAATGTTCATTTCCTACTTTAATTCTCACAATCAAGAGGCTTATACTTTAGTGAGTCAGGGGCTGGGGAAGTGGCTCAAGCGGTAGCGCTCTCGCCTGGCGTGCGTGCGGCCCAGGTTCGATCCTCAGCACCACATACAAACAAAGGTGCTGTGTCTGCCAAAAACTAAAAAATAAATATTAAAAATTAAAAAAAAATACTTTAGCGAGTCGGGAAGAAGTTGAAATAATTCCAACAGCGACAGGTAGAGGAAAATAAGGATATTGCAAGGTGGATCTAAAAGACTTCCAGAAAAACTTGCGTTTGTCAGTGCCGGTTTCTGGGGTATCCCAGGTCATATATACCTATTAGGTCAATGAATCCCGAACAGCTCTGTGAGGCACAAGCCACTGTCTCCATTTTCCAGATGAGAAAACAGAGGCTCCGAGAGGTTCAGTCGCTTGCTCAAGATTGTTCGGCGAGTGAAAGCATAGCCAGGATTCAGATCCAGTTCAGTGCTAAGTCCACGGGCCGACACTGCCCCACCATGATCAGAAAGAGAAGTAAAAAGAGGGCATTTTGGAAAAGCAGAAAACTGCCCACTTTGACTGGAGTCGTTTCTCAAAAGACGGTCCCAGACGGGGTGGCATCAGAGTCACCTGTGGCCCTTTTGAGTGCAGGTCCCTGGGCCCCCTCTGTCCACTGCATCAAATGCTTGCAGTTACACCCTGGATCTGAACTGCAGAGAATACGGGTGCTTCTCCCTCACCTTGCAGTTGGAGAGCCCTGAGGTGGGGGCACGGGGAAGCCTGCGGGGACCTTGCAGGAGAGATGGAGGTGGCGGTTGGAGGGATCTTTGTTCATATCCATCGTCAAGGAGAGCAGCGAGAGCTTACTGAACAGGCAGAGTCTTTATCACAGCTATTTTGGGTAAATATTTGATGTTTGACTAAATATTTTATCATTATTGATTTCTAATTTAATTCATTTCATGGTCAGAGAACATACCCAGCCTGATTTGGGCCCTTTTAGATTTACTGAGATGGGTTTTATGGCGCAGCATATGGCCTGCCTATGCGACTGTTCCGTGTGTACACTTGAAAGGAACCTGTGTTGGCAGCTGTTTGGTGGCGTGCTCTATAAATGTCGATTAGGAGATGGCGGCTGACAGTGTTATTCAGGGCCTCTGTCTTTCCCGGTTTTGGGGGAGGAGGATCTGTTTTTTTTTTTCTTTTAGTTGTGCCGTGTTCAGCTCTCAACTGCTCAACTGGGATGGTGGTGGGCTTGTCTATTTTTCCCTTGTTATAGCTTCCAGATAAATTGACCATTTTATGATTTGATGTGTCTCTTTCATCTCTAGTAATACTCTGAACTCTAATTTACCTGATTTTATCGTAGCTACTCCCAGCTCCTCACATCCACTTATTTATTTGTTTGTTTGGGAACCGGATATTGAACCCAGAGATGCTTAACCCCTGAGCCACATCCCCAGTTCCTTTTTATTTCAAGACAGGGGTCTCACTAAGTTGCTTAGGACCTCTCTAAATTGTTCAGGCTGGCTTTGAACTCTTGAACGATCCTCCTGCCTCAGCCTCCCGAGTCCCTGGGATTACCAGGCATGTGCCACCACGCCTGGCTTCAGGGACCTATCTTCAAGTTCTCGATTTCTTTTGGCATTTCCAATCTGTTGCTAAGATCATTTCATGCATTTTTTTTTTCATTCAAATGTTGTATGGTTCAGTTCTAAGGCGTCCCATGTTTACAGTTAATGTATTCCATCAGGATTCCTTTATTCACTCATTGATTACAAACATTTTCTTTCACTTCCTTGAGCAAGACTTTACAGCTGCTTTACAATCCTTGTCCGACAATTTGGTCACCTTGGGGTCAGACGAGATGAAGAGTCTTTTCTCCTGAATATGGGTCCCAGTTTTCTCTTTCTTTATATGTCTAACAATTTTGTAACCTGCCTTGGACATTATGGATGACAGTTGAAACGAGTCTGGATTCTGTTACATCCTGCAGAGGCTGTTGCTTTGGGTTTTTGTCGTGTTTTAATGGACAGCTAACTTGGCTGGATTCCAGACTTTAGAATCTCAGATCACTTTTTTTTCTTTCTTTCTTTCTTTTCTTTTTTTTTTTAACTTTATCTGTGCCATTTGGAGGCTGCCCGTCCAAGCACAATCTGGGGCCAGCCATGGCTTTGGGCAAAGTTCATACACAGAAGCTGGGCCTCCCTCTCTTTGGATCAGTCCTGCCTCATCAAATTCTATCCTCTGATTATTCAAGCCAGAAAGATGACAGATAGGGGCCTGGGGTTGTGGCTCAGCGGTAGAGCACTCGCCTAGCACAGGTGGGACACGGGTTCAATCCTCAGCACCACATAAAAATAAAGGCATTGTGTTGTGTCCATCTACACCTAAAAAATAAATATTAAAAAAAATATATGACAGACAGGGTCTCTATCTAGGTTTTAGTCACCCCACGAGGTGTAGACTGGGGTCTTCCTTCAGGATAAAAGATGTAAAAAAAAAATTCACCCCATGCCAACCTTCTTCCTCTCTCCAATATCTACCTGCTTTATGTAATCTCCAGTGCTCCTATGGAGTTGTTTTTTTTTTTTTTTCATTTTAATCACAATTACAGTTGTTTGGGGGAGGGTTGGACTGATAGACGGTATAAACCATTAGAACCAGAGTGAGAACATAGATAATGTGTTCAAAGATGGATAACTCTGCCTAGGATGGGGAAGAAAGGTAATTCTGTTTCCCCTGAGGTTAGGTAGAGGGAGAGATTCGGGAGGAGGAGGGGGAGTGGAAAAGAACTGAACATGTCTGTTTTTAAAAAAAATTTTTATTTGTTCTAATTAGTTACACACAACGGCAGAATGCATTTCGACTCGGTGTACACAATTGGAGCACAACCTTTCATTTCTCTGGTTGAACACAATGTAGCGTCGCACCTCCCGTGCAATCACACCCGTACATAGAGTAATAATGTCCATCTCATTCCACCATCTTTTCCACCCCCATACTCCCCCCTTTCCCTCCCTCCTCTCGGCTCAATCCAAAGTTCCTCCATTCTTTCCTGGCTCCCACCCCCACTATGGATCAGCATCCACTTATCAGAGAAAATATTTGACCTGCAGTTTTTTGGGGATTGGCTTACTTTGCTTAGCATGATATTCTCCAACTTCATCCATTTACCTGCAAATGCCATAATTGCATTTTTCTTTAAGGCTGAGTAATATTCCATTGTGTATCTATTGAAGAGCATCTAGGTTGGTTCCACCGTTTAGCTGTTGTAAATTGAGCTGGTATAAACATGGATGTGGCCACGTCACTGTAGTATGCTGATTTTAAGTCCTTTGAGTATAGACTGAGAATTTAAATTAAATCCATTTAAAAAAAAATAAGTCCCATTGGTAGAGCAGCAAGGGCTGTATTCAGAGCATAAGGTGGACCCCTGTTACAAAAGCATTTGGAAAAAAGGAGCGTTGTCATTGCATTAATCTTTTAGAGAGATCATGGCAGCACTGAGATGAAGATGGGAAATGGACAGGGGCAAAACCAGAGAGAAGCAACTAGTACGGAAGCCACAGCAATTGTCCAGGCTGGAGGCTGGAGGCCCAATCCAGACAGAAGCCAAGAGGAAGGCAGGGGAGGAGGGTGGGTATTCAAAGGCGTTGGATGTTTGATAAAGAAGAGAGAGGAGAGCTGGAAGACGGTGGGGGAGGGGAGCAGGGACGAGGGGGATGTGGTCTCTTAGCAGCAGCTGGTATTTATAGGCTGCGGGCAAGTGCCAGACCCGGATCGAAGCACAAGGTATGCAGAGCTTGGCGACTGGTTGGATTTGAGAAGAAAGAAGTGGGAGAGAGGAATGAAGAGCTGCGGGCGGGTCCAGGGGTGTCTGGTCTGGGCAGCTGTCGGGAGGGCGCGGCGGGGCTCCGGGGGGAGGCTGGCTGCAGGCGGGGTCACTGTGGGCCTCTGTTGGTCGCAGCACCTGGAAGGGCAGCAGAGAGAATACGAGTTCTCCGGCCTGACCCCGGACACGGAGTTCCTTGGGACCACCATGATTTTGATTCCAACCTGGTCCAAGGAGAGCGCCCCCTATGTGTGTCGCGTGAAGACGCTGCCGGGTGAGTAGGAGCCAGAGGAGGGGGATCCTGAATTCTCCTCTGAACCCACTCCTCCCTGCCTGCCACCAGGGCTGGGTTCGCAGAGCTCTGAAAACCCTGGGGGTTCTTAGTGTACTGTCAAGGCCCGTCTTGGCTCATTCATGGCTGAGTCCACGGGTGGATTTTCATAGCGAATGTTTGATCCCTCCCTCCAGCCTGTGTCTGGATCTCCTCTCTCCACCAGTTTGTGAGAACCTGGCAAGAAAGACTCCCCTTGACACCAACCCAGGTGACACTGGAGGAAAGTCTGCAGGGGGAGAAAAGGGAAGATAAAAGGATCCTCCAGTATCTCCCCAAACCAAAGAATAAGGATGACGATGGTGAAGGCTGGCTGGCATTTCTTCAGCCTTAACCAGGGACCAGGCACTAGTAAGTGCAGCCCTCCCAGCTGTCTGAGGCAGGTCCCGTAATCATTCTCATTTTACAGAAGAGGAAACTGAGGTTCAGAGTGGCTCGGTAACTTGCCCAACTGGTGGAGAGGGATGGTGAAGCCGGTGGAAACGTTGCTTTGAGCTGCAAGGTTAGAACATGAAAGGGATGGACTGGGAAAAACCGCCCCCACTTGACCATCACCTTCAGATTCGTGTTCGTAGGTGATTTCTGTTCCCACAGTGCCAACCTTCAGAGCAGAGTTCAGTTTGAGAGCTGGACAAAGTGCATGGCCCTAGGAGGCAGCTCTGTTTGGAAGCTCAATTCGTCCGTTTCCCTAGATCCCCCGGAGCCTGGTTCCTCCACCTGAATCCTTTGCAGAGGAGCGATCCTGGGGGGAGTGGGGGGGGGTCAGCCAGCTCTGGCCAGCACGGGGCATGTCCTTCTTGGTCTAGGGTCCCAGGGAGACCAGAATAGACCTTGGCAAGAAGAATCTAAAAAACGGAAACCAACTTTATGGGCACTGATCTGGGGGGGCACGTGTGACTGAGACGCTCCCCCCGACCATACTAGACACACCACGTCCACCCCGGGCCCACCCCTGCCCTGCCCTGGGTTTTGAAAACAGGCAAACTCACCTTTCTTTGGCCTGTCCTTCCATGATCTCTCATGACATGACATCAATTTTTCTCTAACACTGTGGTGGGTTGGGGACATAGCTCAGTGACACTTATTCAGTACTGCTCTATTACCCCAGGTTGTGTCAAATGCTTTGCATATAGGATCGAATCTTTAAAATAATCCTCCAAGTTGGGCAGGACCATTCCCAGTTTATAGAGGAGGATCTCTGGCTCAGAGAGGTTCAGTGGCTGGTTCATGACCACACAGCTGCTTGGTGAGCCTAGATAGATTCATCAGAAGCCTGGGCTCTAACCACCACCTTGAACTTGGTTTATAACTAGTCCCCTCGACTGCACACCTATTCCTCTGACTTCCATTTCAAAGTCATACACCTTGCTTTTGACCCTGTATCCTAGAGTCTGCTTTACCCCAGAGCCCAGAATCGCCACTATATTTCTTCTCGGGATGTCTGTGGGGGGTCACAGAGCCTGATCCCAGCACCTTGGTGCTGGAAAGTGATCTCAGGTTCATCTCACTGCAGATCTTAACTGTACAGGTGAGGAAACCGAAGCATGATTGTGTAACGGATGTGAGGGTGAACTATAGATATGTGTGAGTCACTCTTGGCTTCCCTACTGAGAAGCTGTGTGATCTGGGGCAAATCACTTAATCTCTCTGAGATTCAGCATTGTTATCTGGAGGAAGAGGGTACCTGTATCCCTCTCTACAGGTACGATTGCTATACGATTTTCTGGCAGAACACAGGGTGAGTTCCCAGTGTAATGCATGGCCTATGGGACAGTTCAAGTGCCAGTGGCAACTGTGATTAGTAAATGGTAGACCAGAGAGGGTGGTATAGCAGAGAGGCAGCTCAGCATATCAAGGGCTGAGCCAGACTCTAATACCCCACATTCCTCACTCCCAGGCTGGTGTTGACTCCATCCTGCCTCCCCCCAGGTGAAATGGCACGTGGAAAATTTATCAGGCCAGGGAATGTTCCAAGGCCCTCTAACTGTCCCGGGACACTAAGCAGGGGTTTCCAATGACATTAGGTATGTCACGTAGGGACATCCAGGTCCTGTCTTCTCCCTGGAGCAGCAATGGGGGTATCATGTGACAGGTGACAGGACATCATTGCAGTGGGAAGCTGACCCAAGCCACACAGGCTGGGAGGAACGAGGAGTGGGCTGGAAGTGGAGGTTCGGAAATTCCCAGGGGTCACTGTGACTGCTGGGCTCAGGGTGCCTGGTCATGAACTGCCCAAGCTGAGGCCACAGGGGTCAGGAAGAAAAGGGAAGGTGACTTGGAGGGTCAAGACCCTGGGGAGTGCAGATTTGGTTTGGAGAACCCCCCAACCTCCTCTTCTTCCCTCCGTCCTTCACAAGTCCCAGTAGGACTGCTGACAGGCAGTGTCACACCTAGAGCCGACTGAGCCTGTCCCAAAGATGCCAGGCCACAAAGAGACCACCAGAGCCCCTAGCTGTCCCTCTCCTCCCCTTTTACAAGGGGTGATGCTCTCCCAGGGTCCCTTCCTGAGCAGACTCTTCCCGGCCTCCGCCCCTTGCTTTGGTAGGAGGCCGAGAGGACAGGCCCTCCCGCTGACCCTCCTTGCCTCCCTCCGCTTCTGTTTCCTGCCAGGGAGGCAGGACGGCCCCTGGACCCAGGCAGGAGGGACCCTGCACCCTGCCCTCTCAATGGCCCTGCTCTGGTGCCCACCCCCAGCCATGCCCCTGCCCACCAGAGAAAGAGGCCAGACAGCCCACGGGACAGGTCCTCTGCATCCTGTGGTCTCCCTTCTAGATCCCACCTGAGTACCTGGGACCCTGGATTTCCTGCCCACGTGGCCCGGGCCTGCATGCTGTCCCGCAGACCCCTCCCTTGGGTCCTTTCCTTGTGAGGGCAGACACTTGCTCGTGTGCAGGCCCTTGGCCTAAAGGTGACTACTTGTGGGGACACGGATGAGCTTAGCCATCCACGTACATGTGCCCGAGGTCACTGGCAGTTGTGACGAGCTGGCCAGGCTGGGGGTTTGCGGGGGGAGGACTTTCACCTGTGCATTAGTCAGCATCCGCCGGAGGCCAAGAATCCTGACTTCAAACCTGGTTCGCTTCAAAAGCAACTGTATTGAGGTGGGAGACAGAACATCTTCCACTCACTCGGAGTGTGGCCTGTGGCCTTCCGCCTGGGATCTGGCCCTAGCCCTGTGGATAGGGGAGGTGGCAGGGGCCTTCCTGCCTGGCCCGGGGGCTGCAGTGCCCTTGCTGGGGCCTGGCCTGGCGGGATCCCAGCCTCACTCCCCCTCGGGCTGCTCTCTCCCCAGACCGGACGTGGGCCTACTCCTTCTCGGGGGCCATCCTCTTCTCCATGGGCTTCTTGGTGGCCATGCTCTGCTACCTGAGCTACAGATACGTCACCAAGCTGCCGGTGCCTCCCAACTCCCTGGTGAGTCATCCACCCGGGCCAGAGAGCAAGGGGAGGGCAGATCAGCAGAGGGCATGGGCACCCCTGGTTCTCCCCGAGGCGTCCCCGGGGGGCTCCCTGCCCTGCTGACTGGTGGTAAGGATGGGGCAGCAGGTGACCAGGAACAGTGACGCAGCCTAGAGAAGCCCTTGGGCTTGAGAGCCTCCAGGCCTGGGTAGGTGATGTAGGGACTGAGCAGCGGCCCCAGCCTGAGGGAGCTGTGGAGCTCTGGCCTCTCGAAATGGGCAGCCAAGTGCTGTCCCAGGGGGTCACAGGCTGGTAATGACCCCATCTTTACTTTTTTTTAAGAGAAATCAGAATTTATAATATGAATATAAATTTATTTATTATATGATTATAATATGAAATCTCCTAATTTTCAAATATTGGCAACTAGTTTTTAAAAATGTACAGCCGTGTGTGAGTCAGACCACGAGTCCCACCTGCAGCACCCCCACACACCCGGCAGCAGGGCCGCCCCTCAGCCCCATCAGCGAGGCCACCGCAGATCCCGCGCAGAGCCATCTGGGGCTCTTGGAGGGACCGAGGCACTCTGAGGCATTTTGCCAGACAGACCATGTCCATAAGACTCTCCCGGCCTCCTGTCTCCCATCCTGCCCACCTTGACCCTTGCCCACCTTGACCCTGCAGTCACAAGCTGCCAGGAGCCTCCGGCAGCTGGCACACCACATCCGGGTCCCGAGCTTCCTGGATTACCTCCCCCTGGAGAAGCCAGCGCCCAAGTCTGTCTCCAGGAGTTACCTGGACTTTAGACGTGGCCCTCAACACAGGCTGGGAGCCCCCGTCCCTCCTTGGAGGCGCTGGGCCCCAGAACTCAGTGGGGTCTCCGGGAAGTGGGGGTGGGAGGGAGGTATATGCAGCTGGAAGGGTCCCCACGACTCCCCCGGGGGCCCCCGCTGCCCAGGTCAGCATCAGGGGCTGAGGCCCCGCCCTAAGAGGTGGGCTGCTGTTGTCCCTGCACAGAACGTCCAGCGCGTCCTGACCTTCCAGCCGCTGCGGTTCATCCAGGAGCACGTGCTGGTCCCGGTCTTTGAGCTCAACGGGCCCAGCGGCCTGTCCCAGCCCGTCCAGTACTCCCAGGTCGTGGTCTCGGGGCCCAGGGAGCCCCCAGGAGCCGCACAGCTGCACGGCCTCCCTGAGATCTCTTACTTAGGGCAGCCAGACATCTCCGTCCTCCAGCCCCCCAACGTGTCACCTCGCCAGACTGTCTCCCCACCGTCCTGCACCCTGAAGGCCACCCCTGAGGTCGGGCCCCCGGCCTACACACCTCAGGTGGCCTCTGAAGCTAAAGCCCCGTGCTACGCTCCGCAGGCCACCACCAAGGCCCAGCCGCTCCCCTACACCCCCCAGGCCACCCTGGACAGCTTGGCTGCTTCCTACGGGGTGTGCGTGAACAGCTCTGGAAAAGACTCCCCCTCGGGGACACTCTCGGGTCCCAAGCACCTCAGGCCGAAAGGGCAGCTCCAGAAAGAGGAGCCAGCTGGGAGCTGCCTTCCAGGTGACTTGTCTCTGCAGGGGATGGCCTCCATGTCCCTGGAGGAGTTCTGTGTGGACGGAGCACCCGGCCTGAACGGGGAGCCGGGGACACCGCAGTACCTGGGGGGCCAGCTCTCCCTCCTCTCCTCCGTCCAGATCGAAGGCCACCCCGGGTCCCTGTCTTTGCACACTCCTGCCCTCTCCTGCTCCCCCTCAGACCAGGAGCCAAGTCCCTGGGGCCTGCTGGAGTCCCTTGTGTGTCCCAAGGATGAGGGTCTGGTGTCCAAGGCTGAGGCCAAGAGCCCAGCCCCAGGGGCCTCAGAGCTCGAGCCGTCCACGGAGCTGGGCTCGCTGTTCAAGGAGCTGGCCCTGACTGTGCAGTGGGAGTCCTGAGGGGGCCAGCAGCCTGCGACTTCTCTCCCCCACCCCGTCACCTCCTGGGCTGTCAGCCCTCGCCCTGCCCCGCCGCACACTCTGCAGCCAGCCCAGGTGGGTGCCTGGAAAGAACCAGAGGAGGAGGCCAAGGGCCCCCACGGGAGCTGATGAGCGAGGGGAGGACTCCAGCCAGAGCATCTGAGGGTGCAGAGAGGCGTCTGTTCCCCTGTGATGCCCGAGGAGGGACAAGGACCCGCGACCATTGGCTGGGCGGAACCAGAATAACTTATACTTCTGCCAAGACCAGAGGCAGAGGCAGTCTAGCTCAGTGGCAGACTACAGGGAAGGGCGCGGCCTGGGGCTCCCTCCCGCACCTTTCCAGCCTATTTCCTCTGCTGGAGGTTTTACCCCAGGGAACCCCCAGGTCCAACGGGGAGGAGCCACAGAAACCCTTCTTGCAGGCAGGAGTTTCACGCTCCAACCTGAGAACAGGGTTTGAAAGGAACTTGGAACCCTCTGGGCCCTGAAGAGGACACAAAGCAAATGGCACTCACTTCACAACTCTGGAGACTTGGACTCAGCCCATTTGGGCTCAAAGTCCAGCCTCGCCAAGTAGCAGCAGCGCGACTTCAAGCAGACGATCCACGGCTCAGAACCTCAGTTTCCTCATCTGTAAAATGGGGAGAGCACCACCCACCTCGCGGGGTTGTGGTGAGGAGGACATTAGTGTCCGTAGTAGTGCCTGGCATGGAGGCTGTGACCACTTCCTGTTGTGATTTTGTTAAATATCTGGTGGCCCCAGGAGTTGACTTCCTCAGTTCAAGTTGGCTTCAGATCACCTGGAATTGGATCAAGGGTTCAGAGGATCCAGATTGCCTCAGAGTTGCTTCAGGACAGGCCAGAGGGCTGGACTTTCCAGAATGGACCATGGAGGGACTGCAGGGCCTTCTGGAAACAGCCCAGAGACAAAAGATGCAGCGCTGTCTCCCTGCGGTCAGAGGGCCTCCCTGTGCCTGGCTCTCAACAGCGCCCCCCGGAGGCCACGCAGCGGGCACTGGGCCCTGGCCTCGTCCGGGCTCCCAGGAAGGGAAGGCTCTGTGCTCAGGGAACTGCCACCGCCTCACGTCCTTCTCACCTGAGACGCCCCTTACAATGAGGAATCCGAGGTCCAGAGAGGGGAAGGACCTCCGCCCAAGGACCCCCACTCAAGATCCCACAAAGGGGGCCGGGACAGGGTCAGTGTCAAAACGAGGGCTTTTTGCCTCATCAAGAGAAGGAACTTTCCAAACCTGTTTGGATTCTTGGAAGATGAAACTAGTGGGGCGTAAGGAGGGAAGGATCCCTAAAGGGGTCCTGGAGGGACAAGCAACTCCCTGGTCACCCTCCCGCCCCAAACTTTAGAGAGACGGGCCTAAAGTCCTGTTGCCCTGGTTTGACCCTTCCCAAGGGTGCACAATGTCTTTTCCCTTCACCCAGCTCCCCCTCCCTCCCTGGGACGTGGTGACGGACAGCGTGTTCTTATCTGTGTGAAATTAATATTTAACATCACTTCAGAGTCACTGGATCGATATCTCTGTAACAGAAGGTGGTGAACCGCCATCCCGAGGGAGCCCCGGGGCCCATACACTGCAAATAAGTCTACTTCCTGTCCCTCGGGGCACCCATGGCCAAAGGTTAACAGTCTTTACCTTGTTTACTAGTGAAAAACAGGCAAACAGCTGGATTGTTGTCTCCAGGTCAGGGGTGGGACTAGGGAGCTATGGAGGTGATTTTTGATGTGGTTGGAGTTGGGGGCTTGGTTTGGTTTTGCCGTCCTGGGGATGGAACCCAGGGTCTCGCACAGGCTGGGAAAGGCTCTACGACTGAGCCACACCCCTCTTCCCTACAGAGGCTTTTAAATCAAGAACCATGAACACCTCTCCTAACTCACAGGACCTGTGGGGTGGAGAAGTCCAGCTGTCTAGGCAAAGAGGGGATGTTTTGAGTCTGGGACCCTCCACAGGCTGGTGCGGTCCCCACCAAGGGGGCAAGTTCCAGGACCCCCTCCCTGAGATTCCAGCCCCCTAGGCAGCTCAGGGCCATAGATAAGCTGGAACCACCTAGAAAATAGGGTGTTTGTGTACCCCAGCAACTGGCTGGGGCCCTGGCATTCCTGAGAGTCCTGGGCTCTGACCCCATTACCAGGAAGCTCCACAGCCCTGCCCTGCCCAGTTTCCAAGGTGTCACCTGCCTACAGTCATGGCAAAGCCAAGCCCAGGAATAAGTGAGTAGTAATATGGAGTTTCTTCTAACCCCCAGGGGAACCACCCCAAGATCTCTAGAGTACTACAAATGGCACTGAACCCTAAAGATACTTTTACCCCATATTACACACCCATGATAAAGTTTAATTTATAAGTTAGTCACAATAAGAGATTAAGAAAAACTAATAATAAAATACAATACTGTTAAGTAAAATAAGGTTTACTTGAACACAGGCACTGCCATGATGGTCAATGTGATAACTGACAGCTACTAAGTAACTAATGGGTAGGTAGCATATATCACACGGATACCTTGGTCAATGAAATGATTCACACTTGGGGTATGTGGAGCAGGATGGCATGAGATTTCATTACACTATTCAGAACAGCAAGCAACTTAAATTCTATGAATTGTTAAGCTGTGTGTGGTGGTATACACCTATAATCCCTCAGGAGACTGAGGCTGGAGAATTCCAAGTTTGAGCCCAGCCTGGAAAACATAGCAAGATACTGTCTCAAAAAAAAATTAAAATAAAATAAAAATAAAAACTTGTGAATTGTCTATTTATGGAATTTTCCATTGAAGATTTTTGGACCACAATTGACTAGAGGTTACAGAAACCACAGAAAGTCAAACCACAGATAAGGGGAAATCACTGCAACCCCGTCACCTAGCAGTTTGCAATCTTGATCACATCCTCCTGCCAACCTCCCTTCCATGGTATTGGTGATGTTTTGCACAGGAGGAAAATGTGGCTCAGAGAGGTGATTTGCCCCTGCCAGTTTCCCAAACATGCTTCATCATGAAAATCCCCTGGGGAGCTACTAAAACTGGAAGCCCCAACCCCAGCCCAGCCCTGCCCCTGGAGAATCTAGATTTTCAACGAACTCTTCCAGACAGGCAAACCGAGGGATCTGTACCCTCACACCAACAGTACCTCTATCAACTGCCTCCATTCACATCCCTAGAGACAGCCCGTCACCTCCTTGGATGGGGTGGGGAGCTGTGAGGCTGGGGTGCCTACAAACCCAGACCCCCACAAGCCCCAGCTCCAGGAACACACGGAGGCTGCCTGAGTTTCCACCAGAGAACAGCGATGAACTCCTCCAGGGCTCTATGTCCCTCCCACATCTGAGTGCCAGCCTGGGCAAGCAGCCTATGACCTGATGTCACACTGAGGCTTGTCCCCTGTTGCTATCCCCACTCTACACTCCAGATAGTGGGACAGAAACAGAAAGTGAGGCAGGCAAGGCCAGAGAAGAGAGACAGCCCCCGCCTGCCCGCTCACACTGATGCTGGGGGGGGCACAGCTCTGAGACCTCAGCCCTCTACTCGGCCCCTTGGCTATCTGAACCTGTTAGGTCGGTGGCAGCGACTTGGTGGCGACTTAGTGGCAACTTAGAACAAAGCAGCCCGCGCTGCTTTGAACATCAATCAGATGCCGGCGGAAACGCCTGTCAATCAGCCAGATCTCCTGACTAATGCCTGTCAATCAGCAGGACCCCCTGGCCAATCCTGGAGTTCAGCCAACTCCCCTGACCAACTCCAAGGGGAGCAAGGGACCCTAGAGACACCTTTTCCTGTCCCAAGCCCTTCCCTTCCTGCTGTAAACCCCATAAAAGTCCAGTCCGGTCGAGCTTCCACTCGGTTTCTCCTCAGACCCTTCCCCTGTCCCCTCTGTGGGTCTGATCCAGTTCCGCCCGGGAGTGATATCTCAATGAAGCCTGTTGCGCGGCCCTTTTAAACCTGCCTCCTTTGGCCGCTGCCCGCCTTGTCTGATCTGACAGAACCCACTTTCCCTTCCTCTGGTATGAAGAGAAAGGCCCGAGGAAGGCCAGCTCTGAGTTGTACAAAGGAGGAGAACGGTAACTGGAATCAACTGGAGAGTGAGAGCCACAGGGAGGTGCTCTTTATCTCCATGGGCGGGATGTAGTGGGAAGCCTCGGCCAGGCAGTTCTCCATTATGGCACCAGGTGGCGCCATCGGCCAAAGACAGTTTGGTTGCTCTGTGGAAAAAACTTGGAGGCTGAGTCGTTGGTAGGTGAAGCAGCATTTGAGTGACTGTAGGTTGGGTCTTAAGTTCAGGGAAAGGAAGGAAGAAAGGCGGGAGGGAAGGAAGAAAGGAAAGAAGGGAGGGAGGGAGGGTAGGGGAAGAAGGAAAAAAGAGAACAAAGAAATATAAGCCAGGCACTATGCCAGTAATCTTACACATTTTTTTTTACTGCATTTAAGTCTCACAACCATTTTGTAAGATAGGTGGCTATGGTCTGAATGTTTGTTCCCCCCAAATTCATATGTGGAAACCTAATCCCCAAATACAGTAACATTAGAGGCAGGCCTTTGGGAGGTGATTGGCTCATGGGGGCTTCTTCCTTAACAGCAGGATGATTGCCCCCATAAAAGAGGTTCAGGGAACACACTAGTTTCTGCTTCTTCCATCCTGTGAGGACACAGAAGGGGCACCAGCTATGAAGCAGAGCCAGCCTTTTCCAGACACCAAGTCTGCTGGCACCTTGATCTTGGCCTTCCCAGGCTCCAGAACCGTGAGAAACATATTTATGTAATTTACAAACTACCCATTCTAAGGCATTTTGTTATAGCAACCTGAATGGAGTTAAGACAGTATTTGGTCATTCGTTCATTTCTACTTATTTTTAATTTTTTTGCTGGGGATTGATCTCGGGGCCTTACACAGGCGAGGCAAGTGCTCTACCACTGAGCAACACCCCCATTCAAACATTTTTAAAGGAACCCAAATCAAAGGCCCACTTGAACACCAGGCACTATTATTGGGGCTGGAGATAAAGTAAAGAGGACAGGCAGGCAAGGTCCCCACCATCTTGGAACTTATCCTAACTTACAGATAAAGGTACTGAGGCCCAGAAAGCCAAGGCCCCCTCCTGATTAGTGGATGGAGGCTTAAGGTTGGGATTCAAACCAAAGTTTCTGCAACTCCAAGTCACCTTGTCTCAGCTACATGACCGAGGGTTGGCCGTATTTACAGAGGTCCCAGTGATGAGTGGGTGCATCACCGGTGTGTGGTCAGCCAAGGGGTACTGAGGAGCCCCACATGTTGGGCAGACGTCTGCTGGACACATGTAATGGAGGCTCTGAGTTCAGTCAGACCGTAAGTCGGGCTTAATTGTCTCCCCGTGCAGATCATCAAACCAGGATGGCTATGTGACTGCCCAGGGTCATCCAGCTAGGAAGAGGGGACAGATTGGGAGCAAGGCCAGTCAGATGGGGGGTGCCCCCGATGCTGGTGTCTACCCTGGTGGGTCCCAGCAGGACGCCTGGGAGGGGAGGGGGCTGAGGACCGGTGCCGATGGCCCTGTCCTGCAGGACGGAGCAGCCTTAGCTGTGCAGATTCCCACTCAGCCCTCAGAGCGGGTGTGAGCCTTGGGAACCCATCCTGGCCGGGACAGGAGAAGACGAGAGGGACACACCGAGTGTTCCCACGGTGGCCAGAGGGAGGGACAGAAGCAGGGAGTTTAGGAAGGGCTTTTCACCCTGGGCAGGAGGGAGGCTAAGACTTGGGCCGAAGAGCTCTATGGTGCTTGCTCCTCTCTCCAGGGAGTGGCCCCGGGCTCTAGAAGAGGACGGCGTAGGTGGCCACAGTGTAGGTGGAGGCCCCAGGAGGAGGCCAGTGGAGGCCATTGTGTTTGGACTGGAGCTGATGCGGTCTTCCCAGACCCACTCACCCTCTGGAGAGGTCCCGGCTCCCAACTCCTCTCCAGCTACGCCCCCCCACACACACATGACCATGACAGTGGGCGGGCGGGGGCTGTGCCAGGGGTGGTGGGGGTGGTGGAGGGTGGAGAAGCCAAGTACCTCACCATAGCCAGGATGACCCCTGAGCACCGCAGATGCATGTTTAGGTCGCCTTTCCTCCTTCCCTCTACCGTCTTTGCAGCCTGGGTGCCTGGCGGCACCGGCTCATTTTCAGAAGGGGGATCTGATCAGATCAGAGAAGCTGAGCACATCCCCAGGGCGCCCAGCCCGCCAGAGGTTGAGTTCAGATCAGAAATCCCACAACCAGGAAAACCCGCCACAGCCACTTCCACACAACAGGCTGGAGCCTTGGCTCTTCCCACTGGAACAGGGGTAGAGCCAGGCAGCCCGGGAGGGGCGGCTCCACCTGTTGCTGCTGTCCTGCAGGGCACCAGGGCACGAGGGACAGGACCGCCCTCCCCCCTCCCCCCAGCTCCCACCCATTGTCACCCAGCCCTGCTATATTTAAGATCAGGCCGGCTCCAGATCACATTCTTCTCCCAGTCCTTGCTGAGCCGAGGGGAAGAAGAGACCAAAAAC